AATGGTTTACCTACTTGTAGTAGTTGTTTTCTTAAACAATTAAGCTGCAAAATCAAAATCTAAACAAAATTTCTGGGTTACAACTTTTAATTTCAAAAATTTTTTATTGAAGTTTTTGATAATTTTTTGTTAAAACTTAAAAATTGACGTAAACTAAAATTAATTAAAAAAATCTGCTACTATCTTAAGTTTTCAAGATATCGTTACAATTTCAATATCTTTTGACAACAAATGACGATCCAAAAGCTTAAAAAAATTGACAAATTTTGTTTAATAACAAAAAATATTTGACCACCACATTTTGATGTGGACAAAATCTTTTTTTTTGCTATTTCAAAATAAACAGAAACAGTTTAATAAAAAAAAACTCAAAAATTAAAAATGGACTGAATTTAAAAAAAATAAATATGAGAAAAGACAGGACTAATAGTTATTTTTTTATGTAAAATGACCTAAAAATCTGAATCTAAAAAAAATTAATGCTATAACTTTTAGTTTTAAAAATATAGGTACTAAAATCTTTCAAAATTTTATGACAAACTTGAAAATTCAAAAATTTCTTACATACTTGTTTACAAAATATTAAATATGTTGAAAATTGATTATACAAAATTTTCTCAATTTTTAATAAGTAAAGTAAGAAAAATAAATATTTTCTTTTATAAAATGAGCTGCAAAATCCAAATGTAAAAATTATTTTAGAGTGTGGCTTTTAGTTTTTAAAAAATATGACAAACTTTCACTATTTTTAGCACAAAACTTAAAGATTTCTATTTTCTCAATTTTTGAAAAAAAAGACGGTCTATCGTTGTATAATAGTTATTTTCCTACACAGTTAAGCTGCAAAATCAAATTCTGAAAAAAATCTGAAATACAATTTTTAATTTCCAAACTATGGGTACTAAAATTTTTGATAATTTTATATCAAAATTTAACAATTCAAAAGTGTGTTACTTTTTGAAAAGTAATAACAGCAAAGCCAATTGTTATTTTCTCATTTAAAATGACGAAAAAAAATTCAGTTTTTGAAAAGCAAAAAGTGAATTTAATAAATATTTTCTGATGAGAAATGAGCTGAAGGAATTAAATCTGAAAAAAATTCTAAGCTATTGCGAGTACAGTTAATTTAAGAGAGTAAAATAAAATTAGAATAATTGACTTATACTAGAAATACACTTAACAACCCTTTTATCTTATTATCTATTTCCCCATTTCAATTGCGATTGTGAAATCTTCGCTTTTAGCTTTAATTATAGGGATAACATAAAAAACTCATAAAACTCTCAATAGAATAATAAAAGCAATATACCCAAAAATTCCTCACTCACAAAATGTTTTTCACCCTCTTCGTATTTTTCACGGTTATTTCCTCAAGTTGGGGTTGCAACTACAATGGAATCATATATTATACTCAATTTCCACCCATTGATACTGAATATTTGACAGGATTTTGTATCAACACACTTCAGGAAACCCAGAAGATTGAAATTATAAGAGAAATTCTTGCAGTCTGCACCCAACATTTTAATTTTAGCCACCCGGTAGAAACAATTCAAATTACAGGTTGTGGTGTTGAAGAAATCGAAAAAGAATTTTTGATAAACACAGAATTTCAACCTGATTCGTTGTCTATAACTAGAAACAGTATTAAAACACTTCGAAAACACACTTTTAAGGACCTCGCAACTCAGTATTTCACCTTGAGTGAGAATTTGATCGAGATTGTTGAAAATGAAGCTTTCTTCGATTTGTTTAATGTGAAATTAGTTGACTTGACTAAAAATCGAATTACAGTATTTGAGTGTAATTCATTTGTAAACGCTCCAAATTTAGAACTGTTGACTTTAAAGAATAACAAGATTCAGCACCTCAAAGACAACTGTTTCAAATATTTAGAAAATGACGGAGTTGTTTTAAATTTAAGCTACAATCAAATTTCCAAAATTGAATCGCATGTTTTTGATGAAATGCTTGCCAATAATGTGATCATTCATCTGGAATATAATTTATTAAAGACTTTCCCGGTCCGAATTTTCCAAAAACATAATTTCTCTTCGTTTAATTTAACCGGAAATCAAATCAGATATTTGAAATTTGATATTTCAAAACGTTTCAAAGTTGCGCTTTTAACAGTCGATGCGAATTTGGATTCGGAAATTCTGGACGATTTGAAATATTTCACTAAAGAGTTATCCAACAATGCACAAGAATTTTTACCAAAAATTGTATTTTATTTTCTTCTTGTATTTATTTTTTAAATAAAAACCCCAAAAACCAAAACTAAGGTACTAGATGCTGTCATAGACAGAGGTACTGCCATCATATGTTTTTGACACTGACAGCGGCTTTTTGACCTTGAAAAATTACGTCAACATTAAATGTCATATGTGCCAATTTCGGCGGGAACTCTCCGGAAACATTTTATAAATAAAAAACGTGGGTTGAACAATTCATATTACATACTTTTATACATCGAAACAACCAAGAAATAGTTCAGAAACGTCTCACAGGTTGGTCAAATAAAGGCAAAAGTGGCAAAGTGTAGTAATGGTAATGTAGATAAAGATGAGTATGGCCCAGTTCACAAAGTCTGTGCGTGGTGGCTTGTAAATAACTTTCAAGAATTTTTGGGCAATGGTTTTCTGAATTTAGATGCGGTGTTGCGCTGAGATGTAAATACACATAATTCTGTTTTTTTTATAAATACTGCAAAAATGTTTCTGAAGAAAAGGAATTACGAATGAAGAAGGTAAACTATGTAATACTAATACATAAGAGCATATTCGTATACTCTCCTATATCTTTGAATCTATCTGTCTTCTTTAATCTTTTTAGCCACATACCTTAAAGAGTTTTGAGTTTCTATGCATTGAAATGTTTGAACTATTTTCCATGTTTATAATATTATTTCATCTAAATTGAGGCAAATTAAAGAGTTTTATCTTTGAGTTGCAGTGCGCAATACAAGTTTTAGTGAGTTTTTTTAAATTTTGCGATATAAATTTGTGAAATTGACATGATTTTTTTCAAGGTCAAAAAGCCGCTGTCAGTGTCAAAAACATATGATGGCAGTACCTCTGTTTATGACAGCATCTAGTGCCAAATGTCTGTCAAAAATCTAAAATTTTGCTTAAGATTAAGTTTTTAAGTTTTTAGAAAGCAAAATCGGTTTTAGTAACTGTAATAAAAATTTTATAATGTAAAATGAGCCAGAGTATATGAATCTGAAAAAAAACCCTTATTTTTATTTCCAAAAGTAAGACCAAAATTTGATATTTTTCTGGTAAAACTCAAAAGTTTTTAATTTTTTACGTTTTGAAATAGAAGAAGAGAATTAAAATAATTGTCTTAACAACTTAACAATTCTGTCATCCATTCCTCATTCAAATTTAGCAATCTTACAAAACAAAGAAAATTAATGGCACCACAAGAAATAGTTTTTTATTGTTTTTAGTTTATCAGCTTCTCGATGTAATTCCAACTTTGTCTTTCTCCACTCCCAAGCATTAAAAATAAGACAGCACCACCAATTTCAACAGCACACGAGAACCAAAGTAAGAAGCTCCATTGACTCAAAGAATCCTTCAAAAAGCTATTATCATGTGGAAAAAAAAATTGAACTTACTTTAGCCACGAAAAAATCATTGATTAGTAGAGTACTCGATCCAAGAATTAAAAAATCAATAGTACCCGTGATTGCTGTTATAGTCCCGGCAAAATTCGACGTCAAATCTAACCCATTAACCATATTTGAGGCAAAATACATTGCATCCAAACACAAAGAAATTGTTGTGTAAACCATAACAGTGAATTCGTTACAGCGTTCAAAAGTTACAAAAATGAGACATAAACCGGGAATAAAATTACCTAAATTTTTGATTAATTGAAATTTTTAGTTCAAAAAATGGTTTACCTATAAGGACGTACAATTTTCGCATCGCAGTCACACTCAAATGCCGTTCTTTAACAAACCAATCGGCAGCAAACCCATAAAATAATGCTAAACCATAGTAAAGAAATAAAGGGGTCCACCAAGCCGTCTCCCACACAGCATGCGATTTTAAAACTCTCGGCATATACAAAAAAAGGGTTTCCCTAAACACAACCCAGGACCAACTCGAGCCAATTTGGAAAAAACACAAGCCCCAAAGAGCCTTCGATTTGAGTATCCTACTCCATGGGACTTTTTTCCAACCATCGACCAAACTCGAATCGGGCTCCTCGTCCAAATACCTCTTCTCACTCAATGCCAAAAACGGGTTTTGGGCCGGACTTGGATACACAAGCAAGTGCCAAAAAACGCCCAAAACGAGATGAACACTTGCAAGAAAATAAAGCATGGGTCTCCAAGTGAAATTCTCGAAGGCTTTATGCACAGCATGGGAGAGTTGCTCCCCTAGAAATCTACTCCCGTAAATGAGACTCGACATGGTGGCACGTTCGTAAATGGGGGCCCAACGTGCAAGAAGCGCCATTATCGCCGCGTCCAAAACACCATGAAACAAACCGAGACAAACTCGAACCATTATCACGAATCCCACTCTCCCTTTGCCCATATCAATGACGGCTGGGGCAACAAAATTGGTAAAAGCCGAAAACAAGACACTTAAAGTCACAATGTATTTGCCCCCAAACTGATCCGAAAGAACCCCTCCTGGGATTGAGACCAACAAAGTAGTCCAATAGAACGAATCCCTGATCATGTAGCGTGTCTCAAGTCCCCAATCATAGACCAAAACCGATTCGTTTTTGGGTAATATGTGGTCCCTTTCTCGGGTTTGATTGGTAAAGGGACACGTGTCGTTGGTTTGGATCTTTTTGTCCAAAATGAAGTTATTCAAAGCTAAGATATCCAGACTGTATTGGATTGAGGATGCGTTGGTGAGTATGAGAGTAGCGAGGAGGGAAAAGACGTAACGTTGAGGGATAAGAAAATCTGGAAGTTTTGGTTTGGTTTGGGAGTTGGGAAGGAGGAAAACTCACATTTTGAGTATTTACTTTCGAGGAAGTCGGAAGTGCGAGACACTGCAGCTGAACTGATTTGGTCCGAGCTCGGCATTGCTCGAAATTTTTAAATTTTGACGAATTTGACTGATTTGACACATGACAAAATACAAGTCTACCACCACATTTTGATACGGGCAAAATCAATTTACAATTTACATTTATTTTAATAAAGAAACTCAAAAATTAAAAAAGTTTTCATTTTTGAAAAATAATTATTCTCTTATGTAAAATGACCTAAAAAATTCAAATTTAAAAATTCTTGAAAACTACAACTTTTAGTTCGTACATTTTGGAACAAATAATAACAATTTTGTTACACAAAATGACTTAAAAAATGCAAATCTGAAAAAAACCTTTTCTAAGCTGTAGGACTTAGTTTCCAAAATATGGCCAAAATAATTTATTGGTGAAGTTTGACTACACAGAATTTTTTCAAAAATACTCCTAAACCAGCCTAAGTAGTGAATAAATATGTTTTCCTATAAAATAATTTGGAGAATTGAAGTGTAAAAACCTTTTAGACTGTCACTTTTAGTTATAAACAAGACTTTAGTATTTTTAACATAAAACTTGAGGATTCCGACTTTCTTAATTTTTAAACAACAAAGATGGTTTAAAGTGAAAAATAAATAAATGTACTAACCATTTTTTTAATATAAAAGCCTTAAAGAGTACAAAGCTATAAAAAATAAATTTTAATAAACTTAGTTTCAAAGATATAGTCAAAATTTGAAAATTTTTTTTCCGAAATAAAATTCTAAATTTTCTCAGTTTTTAAAAAGCAAAATTGAGCTGCAGAATTAAAAAGTTTCAAACTTTCTTAATTTTTAAAAAACAAAGACGGTTTACCTACGTGTAATAGTTATTTTCCTAACCAATTAAGCTGCAAAATCAAAATCTAAACAAAATTCTAGTTTACAACTTTTGATTTCAAAAATATACTGAGATTTTTAATAACTTTTTGTCAAAACTTAAAAATTGACGTAAAACATCTAAATTAAAAAAATCTCTGCTACTATCTTAAGTTTTCAAGATACGTCAAAATTTCAATATTTTTTGATAACAAATGACGATTCAAAAGCTTTAAAAAAGATTTGACAAATTTTGTTTAATAACAAAAAATATTTGGCCACCACATTTTGTTGTGGACAAAAATAATTTTTTTGCTATTTCAAAAGATACAGAAACAGTTTACATATTAATAAAGAAACTCAAACATTAAAAATGTTTTGAATTTTTGAAAAATAAAAATGGTAGATACAGGAGTAATAATTATTTTCTTATATAAAATGACCTAAAAATCTAAATTTAATAAAATTTGAAAGCTATAACTTTTAGTTTTAAAAATATAGGTACTAAAATCTAAAGATTTTATGACAAACTTGAAAATTCAAAAATTTTTTACATATTTGTGAGACACTTTGAATTGAAACAAAGCCTGCTTAAACAAGTAATGTAATAACATTTTGTAACACGAAATAACTTAAAAAATGCAAAGCTGAAAAAATTCTAAGCTATAAAACCTAGTTTACAAAATATATTAAATAGGTATATTGAAAATTGATTATACAAAATTTTCTCAATTTTTAATAAGTAAAGTAAGTAAAATAGGTATTTTGTTCTGTAAAATGAGCTGCAAAATCCAAATGTAAAAATCATTATAGACTGTCACTTTGAATTTTAAAAAAATATGGAAAAAATTTCACTATTTTTAGCACAAAACTTAAAGATTTCTATTTTCCATTCAATTTAAATTTTTGAAAAACAAAGACGGCCTATCAATGTTAATAATAGTTATTTACACAATTAAGCTGCAAAATCAAATTCTGAAAAAAAATTTGAACTACAACTTTTAATTTCAAAACTATGGGTAGTAAAATTTTTGATAACTTTGTGTCAAAACTTAAAAAATCAAAAGTGTCTTACTTTTTGCAAAGTATTAATAGCGTAGCCAATTGTTATTTTCTCATTTAAAATGACGAAAAAAAAATATCAGTTTTGAAAAGCAAAAAGTGAATCGAATAAATATTTCCTGATAAAAATGAGCTAGGGGATTTAAATTTGAAAAAAAATCCTAAGCAATTACGAGTACTGTTAATTTAAAAGACCAAAATAAAATTAGAATAATAATTGTCTTGTACTAGAAATAAACTTAACAACCCTTTTATCTTATTATCCATTTCCCCATTTCAATTTTGGCGATTGTGAAATCTTCGCTTTTACTTCAAATTATATAGGAATAACATAAAAAACTCATAAAATTCTCAATGGAATCATAAAAGCAATATACCCGAAAATTCCTCACTCACAAAATGTTTTTCACCCTCTTCGTGTTTTTCACGGTTATTTCCTCAAGTTGGGGTTGCAACTACAATGGAATCATATATTATACTCAATTTCCACCCATTGATACGGAATATTTATCAGGATTTTGTATCAACACACTTAAGGAAACCCAGTTGATTGAAATTATAAGCGAAATTTCTGCAGTCTGCACCCAACATTTTAATTTTAGCCACCCGGTAGATGTAATTCAAATTACAGCTTGTGGTGTTGAAGAAATCGAAAATGAATTTTTGATAAACACGGAATTTCAACCTTATTTGTTGTCTATAACTGGAAACAGTATTAAAACACTTCGAAAACACACTTTCAAAAACCTCGCAACTCAGGATTTTTCCCTGAGTGACAATTTGATCGAGATTGTTGAAAATGAAGCTTTCTTCGATTTGCTTAATGTGAAATTAGTTGACTTGACTAACAATCGAATTACAGTTTTTCAGTGTAATTCATTTGTAAACGTTCCAAATTTAAAACAGTTGAGTTTAAAGAATAACAAGATTCAGCACCTCAAAGACAACTGTTTCAAATATTTAGAAAATGACGGAGTTGATTTAAATTTAAGCTACAATCAAATTTCCAAAATTGAATCGCATGTTTTTGATGAAATGCTTGCCAATAATGTGATCATTCATCTGGAATATAATTTATTAAAGACTTTCCCGGTTCGAATTTTCCAAAAACATAATTTCTCTTCGTTTAATTTAACCGGAAATCAAATCAGATATTTGAAATTTGAAATTTCGAAAAGTTTCAAAGTCGCACTTTTAACAGTCGATGCGAATTTGAATTCGGAAATTCTGGACGATTTGAAATTCTTCACTAAAGAGTTATCTAACAATGCACAAGAATTTTTACCAAAAATTGTATTTTATTTTCTTCTTGTATTTATTTTCTAAATAAAAACCCCGAAAACAATTTTTTGACAAATGTCTGTCAAAAATCTAAATTTTTGCTTAAATCATGCACCCCTGCAACACCTGCTTTGGTAAATTTACCAACTGTGAATACCACCCAAACCCCAAACCTTGTCCAACCCATTTTTTCAAGGTTTTTTAATCCCTCAACGTTACATGTTGGCTATAATGGTAAGTCTTGGCATGCTCAACGGGTACGCGATGCGTACTTGTCTTTCCATGACCATAACCCAGGTAATGAAGAAAAACCACACAAAAAACACCACCCACACCATAAGTTCCAGCGATACCACCTTTAAAGATTTTAGAATCCCTGGAATGAGTACAAACAGGGCCTTATTTTGGGTTCGTTTTACTGTGGCTATATTGTGACCCATCTCCCTGGTGGGCTTCTGGATGAGAAAATCGGGGGTAAACACGTCTTAGGAGTCGGAATGTTGATTAATGCCCTTGTGACCATTTTCTTCCCGGTTTTTATCAAGAGCTCCAATGGCAATTGGGTTATTGTGGTGGTACTTAGGGTTGTTATGGGTTTGGGTCAAGGAGCGGTGTACCCAACAGCGACCCATATAAAGACGGAGGTGCTACTTCAATTAGTTTTTTTTTTATGGGTACTGTCCTTTCCAATTCCATAAGTGGGGTACTTATGGCCCATTTCGAAAGCTGGGAGATGTTTTTTTTTTTGGGTTTTGGGGGCTTATCTGAAATATTTTCTGGCAATTGGTTTCATATTCGTACCCAAGAACTAACCCATGTTTAATGGTATATGGTCTTCTTTACCATATTTGTTAATGTGGGGGTCAACTGGTTCTGGTTACCTCGCCGACTTTATAATTTGCAAGAATTACCTCTCCTTGGTTAACTCTAGACGAGTTTTTACCACCCTTGGTACTACCATAAATCCCAAGTACTTTAAACCGAACCAAAATTGTAGGTACCATTATTCCCGGTGTTTTCATCGTTGCAGCCTCCTACGTTGGTTGTGATAAAACAGCAGCTGTTACATTATTCACATTATGTTCACCATGGGTGTTTACTACCCAGGGATGAAAATAAATCCCTTAGATTTATCACCAAATTTTATGAACGGTCTAGCAGTGTTTTCAGGGATGGCAGCCCCAGCCGTGGTTGGTATTTTGGCACCAAATGTAACCCCAAATTTAGTACTTTCCTGTTTTATGTTGGCAATTGTAGCAAACTATGAACGAATGGAGGACAGTATTTTGGGTCACTTTTGGCCTTTTTGCGATTGCAAACTTGGAATTTGTCATTTTTGTGAAAGAAGTCCAAAAATGGAACAATTTGAACGAGGACGCAGACAAAAACAAGGAATAAGTCTTGTACGAAAATGTCAATAAAAAATACAGTTTTTTGTTTTATGTGTCAAAAACTTTGGCAGTTTTCCAGTCATGCATTCTTACAATGCTTGTTTAAGTAAATTCACTAATTGTAAGTCCCCAAATCCCATTTCAAGGATTAATACCTAAGTTTCAAGGTATCCTAATCCCACAACGCTACATGTTAGCGATCATGGTCAGTCTTTCGATCCTTAACGCATACACGATGCGCGTTTGTCTTTCCATGACCATAACCCAGATGGTAGTAAAGAAAAACTACACGAAAAGTACCACCACCCAATCAATGTGTCCCAGCGATACCACATTTAAAGAGTTTGAAATTCGTAAAGAAACGACTTATGATTGGAACGAGCACAAGCAAGGGTTAATTTTGAGTTCGTTTTACTGGGGGTACTTTGTCACCCATATTCCTGGGGGGCTTCTGGCTGAAAAACTCGGGGGCAAACACGTACTAGGAATCGGGATGTTAATTAATGCCATTTTAACCCTCTTGTTTCCTTGTATTGTGAAAGGTTCAAATGGCAATTGGGTCATTGCTGTGGTACTTAGGGTTATTATGGGTCTCGGGCAAGGGGCTATATACCCAACAGCAGCCGTGCTTTTAGCCCAATGGGTGCCCGTTCAGGAACGTGCAGGCGCGTCTTCAGTTAGTTTCGCAGGGGCTTTGATAGGTACCGTCATTTCTAATTTGATAAGTGGGGTACTTATGACCCACTTTGAGGGCTGGGAAGTGGTTTTTTATTTCTTTGGGTCTTGGGGGCTTATCTGGAATATTTTCTGGCAGTTGGTTTGTTACTCGTACCCAAGAACTAACCCATGTTTGAAACCCAAAGAAAAAGAATTTCTAGAGCAGGAGTTGAACGAGGTCAGTGAGGACAAACCTCCAACTCCATGGAAAGGAATTTTGACCTCACTACCAGTATGGGCTCTGGTTCTTGGTCAATTCGGCCATGATTGGGGATGGTATACCATGGTCTCAGATTTGCCCAAGTATATGGACTCAGTACTACGGTTTCACGTCCAAACCAATGGTCTATGGTCCGCTTTACCATATCTGCTGATGTGGGGGGCTACCGTTGGTGGTGGTTACCTTGTCGACTTTATTATTATCAAGAAGTATCTCTCCGTGGCTAACACAAGACGAATTTGTGCCACTCTTGGTACCACCATTGGTTCCAAATACTTTAAAACTGAATCAAAATTTTAGGTACCATTTTACCGGGCATTTTCATGGTCGCAGCTTCTTATGTCGGATGTAACAAACTCGCAGCTGTTATGATGTTTACATTGACATTATTTTGGATGGGTTTCTCCTACCTTGGGCTAAAAGTCAATTCAATTGATTTATCGCCGAATTTTGCTGGTACTGTCATGGCACTTAATAATGGTTTGGGAGTTTTTGCAGGAATGGCAGCCCCAGCTGTGGTTGGCATTTTAGCACCAAATGTAACACTAAATCTAGTAATTTTTTCTTCTAAATTGGCAATTGTAGCAAACTATGAACGAATGGAGGTTGGTTTTTTGGGTCTCTTTTGGAGTACTTGGTGCAACAAACATCTTATTTGTAATTTTTATGTCGGGGAAAGTCCAGAAATGGAACAATTTAAACGACGATGCAAACAAAGACTAGGAATAGGTCTTGTACCAAAATGACAATAAAGATTAAAACAAGTTTTTGTGTCAATTTTTGACAGTTTTCTTTCTAATGTCATGCATTCTTATGATGCTTGTTTAAGTAAATTCACTAATTGTAAGTCCCCAAATTCTATTTCAAGGATTAATCCCTCAGCTTCAAGGTGTCCTAATCCCTCAACGCTACTTGTTAGCGATTATGATCAGTCTTTCGATCCTTAATGCATACACGATGCGCATTTGTCTTTCCATGACCATAACCCAGATGGTAGTAAAGAAAAACTACACCAAAAACACCACCACCCAATCAATGTGCCCCAGCGATACCACATTTAAGGATTTTGAAATTCGTAAAGAAGCGGTTTATGATTGGAACGAGCACCAGCAAGGGTTTATTTTAAGTTCGTTTTACTGGGGGTACTTTGTAACCCATATTCCTGGAGGGCTTTTAGCTGAGAAATTCGGGGGTAAACACGTACTAGGAATTGGGATGTTAATTAATGCCATTTTAACCCTCTTGTTTCCTTCTATTGTAAAAGCCTCAAATGGTAATTGGGTCAATGCGGTGGTACTTAGGGTTATCATGGGTCTCGGGCAAGGTGTTATATACCCAACAGCGGCCGTGCTTTTAGCCCAATGGGTCCCTCCCTATTCGGGAACGTGGAGGCACTTCTTCAATCTGTTTTGCAGGAGCTTTGATGGGTACTGTCATTTCTAATTTGTTAAGTGGGGTACTTATGACCCACTATGAAGCCTGGGAAGTGGTTTTTTATTTTTTTGGGTCTTGGGGACTTGTCTGGAATATTTTCTGGCAATTGGTTTCATATTCGTACCCAAGGACTAACCCATGTTTGAAACCCAAAGAAAAGGAGTTTCTAGATCAAGAGTTGAAAGAGGTCAGTCAGGACAAACCTTCGACTCCATGGAAAGCAATTTTGACCTCACTACCAGTATGGGCACTGATTCTTGGTCAATTCGGCCATGATTGGGGTTGGTTTACCATGGTTACAGATTTGCCCAAATATATGGACTCGGTATTACGGTTCCACGTCCAAACCAATGGTCTATGGTCCGCTTTACCATATCTGCTGATGTGGGGGCTACCATTGATGCTGGATACCTTTCCGATTTTTTTATTAATAGAGAGTACCTCTCCGTGACTAACACAAGACGAACTTTTACCTCCATTGGTACTACCATTAGTTTCAAATACATGAAAACTTAATCAAAATTTTAGGTACCATGGGACCGGCCATTTTCATGGTTGTAGCTTCTTACGTCGGATGTAATAAAATCACAGCTGATGTTTACATTATCATTATTTTGGATGGGTTTCTTCTACTCTGGGATGAAAGTCAACTCAATAGATTTATCGCCGAATTTTGCTGGTACTGTTATGGCACTTAATAATGGTTTAGCAGTTTTAGCAGGAATGGCAGCCCCAGCTGTGGTTGGCATTCTGGCACCAAATGTAACACTAAATCTAGTAATTTTCTCTTCTAAATTGGCTATTGTAGCAAACCATGCACGAATGGAGGCTGGTTTTTTGGGTCTCTTTTGGGGTACTTCGGGCAACAAACATCTTATTTGTAGTTCTTATGTCAGGGGAAGTCCAGAAATGGAACAATATAGAGCAAGCCGAGTAGGAATCGTGATTGTTTTATCGATTAATTTTTTGAGGTACTAACAACAAATAAAAATCAATTTTTGGACACTTTCTTTATTCACTTCGAACGACACTTTCCCGGCTATAGTCCGAATAACTGTCTTCATTACCAACCTCCCAATTCCATGGTTGTTCTTCCGCCGACCCAAAAAACACAAAAAAAATATTAGTGAAAGCCAAAACACATAAATGTATCCAAAAAACGTACATCCACCCGTAGACACTTTCCTAGAAACAAAACTAAAATTTGGTGTTCAAATCTACCAATGAAGTACTTTTTTGGTAAAATTATCTGCAACCACAGGTGCTATAATCCCTGGCAGTGCCCCAAGCCCATTGGCCAGTCCCATAATAAACCCACTGTAGTTGGGCGCCAAATCAAAACAATTGACTCTCGTTCCGGCATAGTAACAACTCATGGTACACAAAGCAAATGTAAAAATCATAATAGCCACTTCTTTGTTACAACTGATGTAACCTTCGTAACCTGCAGCTACGACAAAAATGCCCGGACCCATGGCTCCCACGGTGGTGAGGGCTTTTCGTAACGTGGTAGCTTGAATGATTTTGTGATTAATCAAGTAGTCGGAGACATAACCCGTGAAAATGGTCGTTAGACTCATGACGGCATATGGAAGGGATGACATGAGGTCGCTTTTCAAGACGTTAACTTTGAGGACATCTTTGAGGTAGGTTGGGAGCTCTTTAACCATCGCATGCCAAATCCACGTGTGTCCGATTTGGGCTATAACCAACGACCATAATGGAAGGCTTGTGAGCATGGGTCTCCAAGGGAATGGTTTAGGGCCAAACTGTACATGCCCAGCTGAAACCAGAAATAAAACACTTTTCGTTTGTTTTCTTACCCATCTCTTTGCTCAAGTAGAAATATTCTTCTTGGTCCAAGTAGTGGCTTTTTTGGGGACACGAGGAGACAAAGAGGTGCCAAAATAGAAGTAGTACCATACCCATGCACCCATAGAAGTAGAAACTAGCCGACCAGGTGTCCAAAGCAATGATCAAATTATTGGTCACTAGACTATTGATAGTAGTGGACCATTGGGTGGACGCAAAGATAATCCCAGTGATTTTACCACGATCCCTCGCTGGGCACCACTGACTTATTATACTATGGGCACTTGGGAATATCAACCCAATGCTAATCCCCATCAAGATCCTCATTATCGAAACTGTGATTACCTCGCCGTTGATTATTTTATAAAGAGTGGGTGTGACCAGTGTGATAACAGATGACATCAAAATAGCAACACTCATTACGTGTTTGCCACCATACTTATCCGATATCACCCCACCAGGAAAATGCCCGATGAGGTACCCCGCGAAAAAACAATTTTTTGTTAGTTTTCGCTGAAATGAAGTCCAAGGAAACGTAACATCTTGAATCTGGAAGCCGTTTAGGACTTCTGGGAATGGAGGGACCGCTACTTACACGAAACATGGAACCACTGTTACCCAATGGGTCTGGACATTGACTGATGTTGCGTTTGGTGGCGTTGGCTTGTACCACCATATGGGTGTAAGCCACTGGGACAGAAATACGCAAGTTGTAGACGGTGGTGAGGGCACACATGGTTATAAGCGCAGTGACGTAGCGTTGAGGGATTAAACAAACTTGGGATTATTAGTGAAAGGGTGAAACTTTTCTCTTACCCTTCCGCGATTGTAGCTCGTGTTCCATTTTACAATTTTGACAAAAATCTTGACATTCCTGAGAGTCTGTGTCAAAATTTTAAAATGGAAAAAAGTAAGTTGAGAACAAAGTTTTTTTCACTAATAATCCCAAGCCCGTTTCATTCCTCAACGCTTCATTATCGCTATTATGACCATGGGGGCCCTTACCGTCGTCTATACAATGCGCATTATTATACCAGTATCCACCAAACACATGGTCGCACCATTGAATATTACCAAAGAAAACAGTAGCATTTGTCCAAACCCATCACCAGTTACTGAATTGTCTCACCACGTGAGTACCTCCCAATACTCTCAATCCCAAAAATCCCAAACCGTGTTCCAGATCCAAGACACTGTATTCCCATGGACTCCATCAAAGCAGTTTATAACTTCGCGGTGTTTCTTCGCTGGGTACTTCATTGGGCACATTCCTGGTGGGATTATTTCAGACTTGTATGGTGGCAAAGACGTGATGAGTGTCGCCATTTTGGTTTCCTCCATTCTCACACTCACCACACCCATCGTTTTTAAGGCAGTCAACGGCAATTTGATCCTAGTTGCGTTTATAAAAATTTTGAAAGGGATTTGCATTGGGTTAATATTCCCAAGTGCCCACAGCATCATAAGTCAGTGGTGTCCAGTAAAGGATCGTGGTAAAATCACTGGGATTATCTTTGCGTCCACCCAATGGTCCATCACTATTAATAACCTAGTGACCGACCATTTGATCATGCATGTGGGGAGTTGGGGGTCCAGTTACTACCTCTATGGGTCCTTGGGTGTGGTACTACTCCCATTTTGGCTTCTTTTCGCTGCGTCAAACCCCTTCAATTGCCGGTACTTGATCAAAGAAGAGTACCTCTATTTGCGCAAAGAAATGGGTAAAAAAACAAAAGAAAAGTGTTTTAATTCTGGTTTCAGCTGGGCGTGTACAGTTTGGCCCAAAACCAATCCCATGGAGATCTATGCTCACAAGCCTCCCATTATGGTCACTAGTCATAGCCCAATTCGGACATGGGTGGATCTGGCATGGGTTAGATACTGACCTCCCCAAGTACCTCTGCGACGTCTTCCAAATCGACATTTTACATAGTAGTCTAATGGCTTCCATTCCATATGCCATAATGGGTTTCTCGACCATTATCATGGGTTACATCTCCGACTACTTGATTAATCGCAACATCATACAAACGACGACGTTACGAAAAGCCCTCACGACTTTTGGGGCCATGGGTCCGGGCATTTTTCTCGTTGCAGGTGGTTACAATGGTTACCTCAGTTGTAACAAAACCACAGCTGCTATGTTTTTCTCATTTGGATTGTGTTCAATGAGTTGTTACTACGCCGGAACGAGAGTCAATTGTTTTGATTTGGCGCCAAACTATAGTGGGATTATTATGGGATTGGTCAATGGAATTGCAGCACTGGCAGGAATTATGGCACCCATGGTTACAAAAAATTTTACGAAAAATGTATTTCGTTGACAAATTCAAACACCAAATTTTAGTTGTCTTTGTAGGAAAGTCTTTTCGATTGGATGTACGCTTTTTGGATCCATTTAAGTGTTTTGGCTTTCACAAACATTTTTTTTGTGTTTTTTGGATCAGCGGAAGAACAACCATGGAATTGGGCTAATAGGATTGACCTTGACGAAAATTATAGTCTAGATAGCATTCGCCAAAACCAATAAAGTGACTTTTTGGTAGTTACTAGTTTTTTTTTAAAGTTGGACAAACTGGTTCATAATTATTAAAATGTCATTTATTAAAGACAATAAATTATAATAAATAACAGTCTAAGTATTAGACAAATCTTGACACAATTTCCACAAAATTGCTCATTTTTCGACCTTTTTGCCACTCTCGACACAAGTAGCATTGGGTTCGTTCCACCATTGTAGTGTTGCGCTTCCAAATATAGAATAGATCACACTGGAGACTGCAAAAATGGTGAAAGAAATCCACATAACAATCCTCCATTCGTCCATAGTGTGCTAGAAAGTTAGTGATTTTTATTTCTGACAACATGAGCCAAGTCGCAAACCAACATTTTCCGTCAAAGCGCCGGTAAGATAGGGGGTGATAATACCGGTAATGGCCCCAATTCCATTAGTGATAGCCATGAGAGTACCAGCGAAATTCGGTGATAAGTCCAAAGCGTTCACTTTCATGCCACAATAGTAAGTACCCATGAAACCCATTCCGATGGTAAACATGTAAACCGCCGTCATGCGATCGCAACCCACATATGAGGCTATAATAATAAAAATGGCCGGTCCAATGGAGGCTAAAATAGATTTTAAATAAGTTTGAAACGTAAAAAAGACAGTAGTACCAACAACTGTGAAAAATTTCCTCGCAAACGTCAAACCCATAATTTTTTTTCTAATCAACCAATCGCAAAGGAACCCACTGATCATCGAAACTACCCACATGACGGCGTATGGTAAACTGGACCATAGCCCATTTTCGTCAACCTTAAACTTGAGTACGTCTTTCATATATTTGGGCAAATCGGTGACCATGGTATAAAACCCCCAATCGTGGCCAATTTGTGCCGCTACCAGCGCCCATAAAGGCACAGAAGTCAAAATGGCGGTCCATGGTATCGTTTTTTTCTCATTAGTGACCCCCGAGAGCTCGGTTTGCAAGTACTTCAACTCGCTCTCTTTGATAAATGGGTGCGATTGTGGGTCAGAGTAGCACAATAGGAACCACACAACAACCCATAAAATACCCAAACCTCCAAACAAGTAAAACACACTTGACCAATCCTCGGTCGTTTTGATAAGCCAACCACTGATGAAATTACTGATGATGGTACCGATTTGCCCACCAGCATACACCAAAGAACCCATTTTGGCCCGTTCGTTGAGTGGTACCCACTTGGCGAGAAGAGTATTCAAAGCTGGGTATGTGGTACCCTCACCCAAACCTTCAACCATTCGTAGGACCACTAAAACGACCCAATTTCCACCGCTGGCGTGGATGACCAATGGGGTGATTAGGGTAAAAAAGGCAGTTGAGAGAATACCAAGACCGAGGGTATACCTCCCGCCAAATTTTTCCGCAAGGATACCACCAGGGAGATGGGTGATTAGGTACCCCCAGTAAAACGAACTCAAAATTAAACCTTGGGTCGACTCGCTCCAATCGTAAAGCTTGTCAGGGTCCTACAATGGTAATTTTGAAAAAAATGTTGGGTTTTTCGGAGTTGGTACTTTGACAGTCGGCGTGTTTGTGCTATCGTCCGATGGACAACCATCTGAGTTGTACTCCTGGGTGGTATTTGGGGGTAGTACCATTTCGGTAATGGCAACCGACAAAGACACCCTCATGGTATAAGCATTGACTATGGCCAGGAAACCCATGATGCCCATAATATACCGTTGAGGGATAAAAAAAACTGTTAAGATTAAATTAATTAAATAAAAATTATCTGGTAATTCGCTTATCATCAAGTAGACTATTGTTTTTCAAGTGTTTTGACATGTGTTAAGTCAAGTAGGTACATTAGTTGACAAAACGATTTGTTGTTTTTTCGAGTTAAAAGTGAAAAAATCGGGTTAAAATTTAAATTTCCCGCCCACATTTGAGCGCCAAATTTAAAATTAAATTTTTGATCCAAATTAACAAGTGAACGGAATTATGAAAATTGTGACATTTAATACAAAAACCGGAATATTTGACCTGAATGTCAAAATACTTTTCTTAAATAAGCAAAGAAAGTTACGAAACTGAACACAAGGCTTATTTTTTCCATTTTTAAACTAAGTTTATTTAGTGCAAATGTTTATTATTGAATTTTATTTATTTTGTGGGTAATTTAAAATTCAAATTAAGCAAATATCAAGACCCGTCACATATTTTTTTATTAAAATTCACCAAAGTGCTAATTGCTTTCAAGGCTAACGCGATAAGGGTGAACAATACCCACGTTTGGCAATTTTCGCCTTCCACGCCTCTTCCACCATTTTGAAACTCTTAAAATATCACAGCCAGAATCACAGCACAACACTAAGAGAATTTTCTCATTTCTCCACCGTTTTATAGATTGTCCCTGCCTTTATCAGGTAGTATTCCGTAATTATTTACAGATAGATATATTATTTTAACCACTCGAGCGATAGTTATGTGTTAACGCACTACACACGAAAATCGCCAACTATGTTAATTGAAAAGGAAATTCCTCTCGCTCGATAATAAAAGTGAATCAAACGATTCATAAAAAAGAAATTGCAAAATCGCAAACTTGTCCAAAAGCAGGTCACTTGATCCAGTCCAGGCTAGAACTAGTTATCTGAAGAGCATTTGCATTATTTATCACAAGTGCAACGATAGAAACGGTCCTCAAAGTGTGTCTTGAGAGGTCAAAAGTGACTCACATACTTACTTTATCGCAAAATCAAGTCACCTGGGATTAAATAATTCCAAAAATCTTTTTTTATTTATCTAATAAGCCAGTGATTATAGGCAAATCAAACTCAAATTGATTAAAAACGTTTATTTTTTATATAAATTACAAGAAAATAATAAATAATCACAATTCGCAGTCTAGAAATCACAAAATTACGCCTTTTCGGTCCGTTGCTCCTTCCTCAAGGACATTTCCTTCTGGTCAAGGTCACTATCATCCTCGTTCCAACTCTGTACTTCCCCGCTGGCAAAAATAACGAAGATCAAGTTGGTTATGGCAAAAACGCCGAAAGCTATCCAGAAAACTGTCCTCCATTGGATCAAAGTGTGCTAGAATTTGGTACTACCATCAGTGTGACCTTGAAATGGGTTACTTACGTCTTCGGTTAAGGCTCCGACCAGATATGGTACTATGATCCCGGTAATGGCCCCGATTCCGTTCACAATGGCCATAAGAGTACCAGCGAAATTGGGTGCCAAGTCCAACGCATTGACCTTCATACCACAATAAAATGAACCCATGAAACTCATGGCGATGGTAAACATGACCACGGCCAAGTCGCGATCGCAGCCAGAATAGGAAGCCGCGATAATGAAAATTGCTGGACCCATGGATGCTAGAAAATGGGTTTGAGATGGTACCAAAACAGTACGAGGTAGTTACCAATGGTGGTGAAAATTTTCCGGGCAAGGGTCACACTAAGATAGCGTTTTTCGACCAAATGGTCACAAAGCCATCCCGAAGTCATGGATACCAACCACATGAAGATGTAAGGTACTGATGACCAAACCCCATTTTGGGCTACATTAAATTTAAGAACGTCTTTCATGTATTTGGGCAAGTCGGTAACCATGGTAAAGAAGCCCCAATCGTGCCCAATTTGGGCCGCGATCAGTGCCAAAACCGGTGCAGAAGTCATAATGGAGTACCATGGTACCTGTCGTTTTCTCCGCGTCACATGGGCTACAAAATTAAAGTACTAACAACTTAACATTAAATTAAACCAACCTATGTGTTTCCGGAGGTACTCCTTCTCTTCATCACTAATAAAAGGGTGATTTTCCGGGTCAGGGTAACACAGTACCATCCACAGAAACACCCAAAGGATAGCAAAAGCCCCAAAAACGTAAAATACTGACGCCCAATCTTGGGTTGCCGAAATTAAGGCCCCACTGATGGCATTTCCGGCCACGGTACCAATTTGGGAACCAGCGAATACTAAAGTACCAATCTTGGAACGTTCATGGGCCGGTACCCACTTAGCCAGCAAAACGTTGAGTGCCGGAAAAGTGGTACCTTCACCCAAACCCTCGATAACTCGAACGAAAACAACCCAACCCCAATGCCCATCGGCCGCATAAATGACAAAAGGGGTGATAAAAGTAAAAATGGCCGTGCAAAGTATACCAAGGCCTAGTGAGTATTTCCCTCCAAATCGCTCCGCGATCATACCACCCGGAATATGGGTTATTACATACCCCCAGTAGAAAGAACTCAGAATGAGACCTTGCTGGGTGCTCGTCCATGGGTACAACTTATCACTGTTCTACAATTACGGGCTATGGGCGAGTCGTGGTACTTGCAGTACTTACTTACCGTAACGCTTGAAGTATTAGCGAGAGAACCAGGACAGGAATCAGGGTCGTAATGGGTTGATGCTTTGCTGGGTTCTACCATTTCTGTTATGGCCACGGAAAGGGTGACTCGCATGGTATAGGCGTTTACGATGGCGAAAAAACCCATCACGCCAAGGACGTACCGTTGAGGGATGAAAAATACTGAAAGTTGAGGGTTAATAACCGGAAAGGAATTTGGTGTTGACGCAAAGATTGGACTTTATCAAGAGATAATAAGTTTTTTTCCAATAAATAATGGGATTTTTTGGTACTAATTTTTTGTCTAAAATTCAAATTTGGCCCTTTTTTAATAGTATACACTTATTTATTCAGCGAAAAATGAGTGCCTTTTATAAATGACAAAAAGCTCTATTTATGTCTACAAAATACAAAGTTTTGCTTAGACATAGGAATTTTTTTCGTTTTTTTCGTAATGTTTTTTTTAGTTAGTAAAAATCGTTGATAAGTACTTAATACAATTTTTTCGTTTCAGGTCTACGAAAAATGAATTTTGAAAAATTTAAAGTTTTTACTAAACTTTTGAAACATGTATTTAAAAAAATATATATGATGTAAGTCTTTGAAAATTAAAGTTTTGGACAATTTTAAGAAATGCATTATACTTAGATGCAATAATTATTTGTATTACAAGAGAGAAAAAGACACTTTCTTTCAGTGTAATGTGTACCTACATATAATTTTTCTTATAGTCCATTAAGAAAAACTTAATTAGCAGCATGTTTTTCAATAGGAGAGGTAAAATTTTTATCTTCCTCTCAGTTACATACAGGGTGAATAAAAAAAGTATGAATCCAAGCGGTTTTTTAAATCATTTGCCTTCAGAAAATAATAATTAATATAAATTAAAGTACTTAATATAAAAAATGTGATCGTATTTTGGAAACGAAATTTTGTTTGTTTTTGAGGTATGCGATGTTTTCGTCAAAATTGCAATTTTTTTGAAAAAATTAAATACATATCAAGTAGATAGTTGTAATCCTTAGATCATAACCTTTAGGTATTAGAAAAATAGTTTTATAGTGGCTTGGCCATTTAAAAAAAATAAAAAAAATTGTGGAATTCAAAAACAAACAAAATTTCAAAAAAATTCATTCTTGATAAAACATCGCATTTTTATGGTACATACTTTATCAATTATTTTTTTGAAACAATAAATAGTTTAAGCAAAAAAACGTTTGGTTCCATATTTTTTATTCCCCTGGTATATTTTTACTATAAATTTTGACATATGAGAGAGAAAAATTTTACCTCTCAGAAAAGGAAAATTTTTACCTCCCTGGGAAGGTAATTGGCCAACTTTCCTTTCTGAAATTAGGGTGGAAAAACTTACTTTCTGTTAAGTACGTAGGAAAAGTTAAAAAATGAGCAATTTTTTTAGCCGCAGTCATAAAACCTTCTATTATATTTAGTGCAAGTTTAAGGAACATTTTTGGGATTGATTTTTTGTGTTTTTTGCTTAAATAAAGTTGTAAGTAACTAAGAAAAAAATTTGAGTTTCTCTTTTTAGGGATTTATTTAAAAGTGAAAATTTTTAACAAATTTTAACAAAAGTATGAGAAATTTATTTTTTGGAGTATTTTAGGGTATTATTTTTAGTACGATTTTTTATTGTTTATTCTCAATAACTTGAAATAAGTACATAACAATTATTACGTAATACAAATCTTTTTTTTTTGTAGGTGTAGGTTTACAGATTTTTCTCTTTTTACAGCTCGACCACAAAACTGTAAACATTCAATCAAATTTTTAACAAGTTGTTATCGGTTATAAACAATTCGTGATAACAATGTATCGACAAGGCCAATGCCACAATGTTGGGACAATTTCCCAGTTTAACAACCTGTTTCGCATTCCTGAAAGTCCCCCAAATCGCAAAATTTTCACTTGATTACATTCCAATCACGTACAGGTGTTTATGCACCTGAATTATTTAATAATTTTGTAACAAACTAACGTCACCAACTGACGTGAAACACGTGCCGGAATGGCGAAACTAAATTCCAAATTGCAAATCTAATGTGAGAAATCACGAACATCGCACGATTTTTGTACTTTTTAAAATTCTATTTGCAATTTTTATTGTTCTTTTTCTTTCTTATTGCGCTCAAATATTGGCAATTCCCCTTTATTCCCCTAAATCACTTTCCTTCACCTTGACAATCTAATCAATTGAAAAAATTCCCATTACACGTTATTGGATTTTAATTGAGAAAATAAATTATTATTATTGTTGCCTCAATTCGGAGAAAAAAAAACAAAACGGGAAGATATTTTCAAGAACAAGTGAAGGTGTAGCTAATCAATTCCCATGACGAAAAAACTAATTACTTAATTAATTGATAAATTAATTAAAAATACGTACGTTTTGACACGTGCAACCGCCATCCTGTCAACATTTTTGCCACTTTTGTTCCAAAATATACGACTAGGTCATTGCCAATGCCAACTACGATTGTTATTTTTTCAGCACGACGATTTTAATTAGGTATCAACCTGTCGGGGTAACCGCAGTACTGAAAATATTAACTTGACGTGCTTCGCTTTATATTATGACTTAAAGGTCAACGGATTTCTCTCGCAAAAGATGTTACGCACAGATTTTTAATTGTCTTGTGGATTGTTTCCCTAGAGACTACCTAATTGATAAGGCGATAAAACTGTCATCGATGACTCAATCTAGTATGCCGTAATTTGACAAATTAACAAAAACTGTCATTTGACCCGTTACCTCGCAACGTACCTAATTGTGTCAAAATGTGTCAAATACATCGCGTTGCGTAGCAAGCATTGACAGTAATTAATTCGGAAAAATTCCGCGGTTGGGAAATCTCGATTAATCAAGTGGGCTTAGCGTTATCGATTTTTCTATTGTTTTTGATCGAATCGATCAACAGGCGATTCCGCGTGTCAGAGTATAAAACCAGGCCAACTATTTTGTTTTTGTTAGCGTTTAATTAAAGTGGATTGTTATTCGAAACCGCAATTTTCAATAATTCATTCAATGATAATGAGGATAATAAAAAAACACATAAAAACACGATTTAAACTGTTTCTAATTATTTGTATTGGAAACGCGCGTGTAACACATTTTTCTTACAATTGCAAGTTGGGGGAAAACTCTTGGCGAAAATTTCATCTAGGCCAAGGTTTTTCGTAGAGCACGAGATGAATTTTCGATGCGATGTGTCCCTCGACATTTCACACTTCATTGACTCGTAATTTATCGACACTTACAGTTCCGGTCGTGTGATTTTTGCGATTCGAGAAGATAAGTCGATTCGTTCACCGACGCCATCGTGATTTTTGGGCGCCGATTTTCCACCAAAATTTTGTAAACGTTGTAAATAAACATCACGATCCATCACCTCACTTGAAACAAATGGAATCCTTCGACGATAGAAAATTAGAAAATTTCCGTTGTTGACATGGACGCTGACCCTTTATCACTTGGGTGAAGCTTCACCCAGTTTTTCGCCGATAACGCAAACGGAAGAGATTATTCTTATTAATATTATCACACGTTTTCGCAACAAAAACCCACAAAAAGTCTTTTAACAAATTCAAAAATCTAGTAGCCCTTGATCGGTCTTAGAAGCGCAAAACGGTGACTTATAACTCTAATGTGTGAAAAAAATAAGTTTGGTTTGTATTTCTCCCCAAAAAATACAGCTTTAGCGCTCAATTTAAATTGTTGGTAGGTACTGAAATTGTAATAAATAAAAAATAATCATTAACCTAGTTGCCCTTAATTAGTTTTAAAAACAAATTTCATAAAAATTAGTAAGTTTCACGCTGAAACGGGCAAAACAGGCTAGAAAAACGCATTTTGTACATTATTTTGCAATTTTCGGCTAATTTTGAAAAAAAATTAGCAAGAATTTTAAGTTTCCCGGTGAAAGACGACGAATTATGCAATTTTCTGCCTCGATTTGTTAAGAAATTAGTAATTTTGTAGAAAAAACTGGAATTTAATCAGCAAAACAGTCCGCAAAAACGCATTTCCTATCTTATTTTGCAATTTCATGATTTCGAGTTTGAGTACTTTAAGGTATGTATTCTGAAGTAAAAAAAATCGACCAAAAAAAACCATGTAAAATTGTTACCTTTTTATTATTATCTTATTGTACCAGGTGAATAAAAAGTACGGAACCAAACGTTTTTTGCTTAAACTATTTATTTTTTGAAAAAACTAATTGATGAGTGATAAAGTACTATAAAAATGTGATGATTTAACAAGAATAAAATTTATCGAAATTTCCTTTTGTTTTTGAGTTCTACAAAAAAAAATATTTTTTTAAATGGCAACCCACTATAAAATAATTTTTCTCATAAAAGCTATACTCTAAGGATTACAACTATCTGCTTTATATTTAATTTTTTCAAAAAAAATTTTTTACATAAATTGCAATTTTGACAAAAAAAATCGCATAACTCAAAAACAAAACAAAATTTCGTTCTGAAAAAACGATCACATTTTTTATATTACTTTAATTTATATTAATTATTATTTTCTGGAGCCAAATGATTAAAAATAAAACCGCTTGGTTCCATACTTTATATTCACCCTGTATATTATCTATGAGGACATTTTTCTATGGTTTTGCTACTTTTGATTTATTCTTTTTTTAAAACAATGTAATAAATTTTAAAAAGCTAGTCTCAGAGATTATACATATTTATATTTATTTACTTTGTTGGCAAAGTTTATTTATTTAATCAGAAACTAAAAAAATCTCAGAAATTATGAACATTTGAATAAATTTTTTTTGCTCTTTTGCTCCCTACTTTCACCTCTATTAAAATTACCACACAGCTATTGAAACCATTCTGTATATATAAATAAACAATTAATTTTCCAGTTTAGTCTTTTTTTCGTTTTTATTTTATTTCCTTACATTTTTTTAATTCACGAAAAGAAATGTAACAATACTAAACTTTTTTTTACCTACTCAATAACGTTATATTAATGGAAACCATAACGGGAAAACCTACGCTGATTTATTTTAAAAATCTTTCGTTAAATTACAAAAATACCTATAATATACTGATTTACTGATTTTTGAAATGGTATAGTAAATTCTCGCAAAAAACGCAGTTTTTAGCTCAAAAATCTGATAAAACACTCAAAATTGTAAAAATTACATCTTTTTCGTCATAATTCAGCTTGTTTTTAATGAAATATTTTGCGAAATAATTGCGTTTCTAGCTGAAAAACGTACTACTACGCTCGAAAAGTATTTTTTCAGCCTGTTTAGACGAAATTTTCCAAAAATATCTCAAAAAAACGTGTTTGTAAACACTCCGGAAAGGCAAAAACAACTCCATTTAAAAAAAAAACTGCTGTAACTGCGATTACAGAGACTTGATTATTTCGCCATTTACTCAAAAATAAATCGAAAAACTATCAAATTAAAAATAGTTCTATTTGTTTTTTTATGACAATAAAAAAATACAGCTTTGGCGCTCAATTTCAATTGTTGGTATAGAATTTGTAATAAATAAAAAATTATATTATTAATTATAAATCTAGTTGCCCTTGATTAGTTTAAGTAGCGCAAAACGGTGACTTTTTACTCTGATGTGTGAATCAAGTTTGGATTGTATTTCCCGCCAAAAAATGACAGCTTTGGCGCTAAATTTGAATTGTTGCTATAGAAACTGTAGTAAATAAACGACATTTTGACTCATTTCTATGGAAACAATGTCAGTTGTCATGAAAGATTGGCAAAATGTTTGAAATAAAACTCGCTCAAAACTAAAACATTTATTAACAACACTAAACCCCCTCCTCCGCCTCGATGATCTCAATGTTCGGGGCCCCCTCCAGCCCCAGAATAATGTCCTCCTCGTTCACAAGTATGGAATTTGCGGCCTCCATCTCCTCATCCACGTCCAGCTCGGCTTTCGCCTTGTCCCCGTCTTGTTGGTGTTGTTGTTTCAAGTGATCTTTGAGTGCGAACGCTCGTGAATAAAGAGCCCCACACATCCAACACTCGTATTTAAGATTGTTGTTGGTTTTGTGAGTCTCCATGTGTACCCTTACGGAGTAAAGGGACGCAAAGGGCCGATTACACTCTGTGCAGGTGAAGGGTTTAATGTGGCTGTTTTTGTGGCCGGCGAGTTGGACACTAGTTTTGAAGGCTTTAGGGCAGTAAGGGCACTTGTAGGCCCTTACATCCGAATGGATGAGTAGATGGTGGTTGTAGGCGCTATGCGACTTGAACCTTTTCCCGCAATGGGTGCACTTGTAGGGTCTGGTACCAGAATGGGTGCGCATATGGAGGGTTAGACAATAACTGACCCTAAATGACTTGCCGCAAATTTCGCAAGTGTGGGGTTTTTCCCCCGTGTGGATTCGTTCGTGTTTGACTTTTTCGTGCGGTCTCGCGAACCTTCGGCCGCAAAACTGACAAGCATATGCCCTATTTTGACACTGATTCAACACATGCTCATTTAAAGCATCGTAAGTGACAAAAGGTTTCTTACAATACGAACAAGTGAACTTTTTGTTATTCGAGTGGGCCTTGACGTGCATTTCTAGGTTAATTTTCGTGTAAAACTTGCGATTGCATATATCACAATTGAATTTATTTTCTGTATTGTGCGACTCTAAATGAACCGCTTCGTATTCTTTATCGTATGTTCGATTACATATTTTACAAATGAACATCTGTCGCACTGACTCCTCCTCCTCGTCGTAATTGGCCGGCGCTTCCGGTTGCCGCGTTTTGATTGGTTCGTGCATCCGTCGATGTAGGCGGAGCGACTTAAACGTGGGAAATTTCGTATTACAAACCTGGCAATTGAAAATCTCCGAATCGCTTTTTTGGCATTCGTGTGGTTGGTAACTGTCCAAATTCGGCACGTACATGTCGCACTTTTCGCATTTGTTTATTTCGATTATATGCTCTTTGGTTTCCTCTGTGAGGCCAATTGGGTCTTCTTGCTGCCAGAATTTGTCGATTTTGACGAATTTTCGAGTGTAGGGACGGCCCTCTTTGTCCTTCACGTTGACTTGACTCACAGTTGATGATTTTTTCGAAGGGGAAACTGTGCTCTCGAGCTCTTCCGGACGGGTTTCCTCCTCCAGGTCGTTCTCGTTGGAATTTATGATGAAAATTGTGGCTTCGTCGACCGGAAATTCACCAGAATCGGCGTCTTCCTCCTCCTAATTTAAGAAAAAAAAACGGTACTCAAACTCATAAATATCCAAGTAGCCTGGTAAGAGTTACTATGGAAACAACGTTGTTACTATGACAACGAGTGTAAAAATGGCGTTGTTGCCATAATAACGGTGCAGTTACTATGACAATGTTAAAAACAAAAACAATTTAATGGAAATTTTGGACCAAATTTATGAGAAGCTAAAAGCAACCAAAATTTAGTGTCATTTTCCAAACATTGAGGTTATGTCACCGCCACAAAATATCTCCAATTTTTGGCTACATTTGAGGCGTTTTGTCATGTTTTCACATTAGTACCAGAATGACTTCCTGGCCCTGGTGGCAGCGATTTAAGTGTTCGTCAATATCGTCCAAATGCAGATTACACATTTGACAGTAGTATTGTCCGTCGTCGGGGAGCTTCTCTGGCCCTATCAAGGCTTTGGCTTGCCCGTCGCCCCCTTGACACTCATCGTCCAGATGTTGCGCCAAATCGGCCAAATTTTCGAATTTCTGATCGCATGTGGGACATAACAAATTCTCCAAAATGTGTAAAATGTGGCATTTGAGGGAAGCCGCCGTCTCGAATGTCTCATGACAACACATGGGACAGTTTAAAACGACCATTGCTGCAAAAGGGGCTCCAAATTCAAATTTTTAAATAAATAACTTCATACCCTTTGATACAAACGCGAAGTTGGATGTTGGGCAAAATGGCGGTTTGACGTTTGGTCCTTGCAAATTTGCGACTTTATGGACCCAACAGTTTAATTTGATGAAATTTTTTGATACACTGATGAAAAACTTGCTTATTTAGGGCAAAAGGGTGGTAAACATACGTATTTGTCACAAATCAATATTTTTACGTGTAGGCAACCCGTAATTCAAGCATTCGTTAGCTTGCATAACCGCTTGATTTTTTTTAATAAAGAAAAAATGTTTTTTTTTATTTAATAAAAAATTAAATAAAAAATAATAAAAAACACTGTTATTTTAGTTTTTTATTAATAATAATTTAAATTACATTTAAATCAATTAAATAAATTACCAAATTTGTGCGCTAGCAGTTGCAATACACAGGTCATACACAGGTGTTTGTTGCGTTGCATATCCTCAACTTGCATAATTAGTTTTTTATAAGTTTATTATAATTCAATGGATTTAAATAATTATGAAAATGGTACAAACAACGTCAGGTTAGTGGCATTTTTTAACTCAAGGTTAATTTTGAGCGATAATTATGTAATTATGGTTAGGTTAGGTTGCCAAAATTTTGGGCGCCACCTATGCGCCGACTCTGGAACAAGGTTTAAAAACCATGATTTGAAAAATTTTAATTGAAACAAGTGAAGCGTTTCAGTTATCGTGATTTATGTAACAATTAGGAAGAGAATGAATTTTTTGGGCATTTTTATTCTTGCACCTCATTTGCAACACTTTTACCTTAATTGCTTTATGTTTTTTCCTTGTAATTGATGTTTAAATTATAAAACGTGTGCTAATGCACAATAATAATGTCATTAAGCTGAAAACATAGTTAGCCATGACCGCCATTTTGTTATCATCAATATTCCATAAAAGAGAAAAAATCGGTTCATCGACTGGCATTTACATCATGACTGATTTTTTCTCTGTCTCTTTCTTTCACATGACGAAAATCGACTTTTACTTTTACAATTTTCCGGCCAATGGCCGGCCGACATTTTTCACATTCCGACCGATGATAGTGAGAGTTCACGGTCACGTGACCACGTGATCAGGAAGTCCTCGCTCTCCTCCAACCTCAAATCCGTTTTTATTCCTCTATTTCATTTCACTTTCAAATGAGAGAGTGATGAATTACCAACTTTCATTCGAAAGTTCCAGACGGTCGGTTGTTTTCCTCGGGAGTCTCCTGATTGACATCACGGCCAACGTCGATAGAGAATTTTTACGAAAATATAATCTTGAACCTGATAATGCGTACGTCGTTGACGAAACACGTCGAAGTATTTTTGAGGAGATTCGCGAAGGATCGGTACAAGTCGGAGGCAGTGTTACCAATACAGTGAGGATGTTCACGAAGCTGAGGGGATTCCCCGAACTTGTGACGTATTTAGGATCAATGGGCGCGGACGAGAATGGCAAATTTGTGAAAAATGAATTGGGAAAAGAGGGCCTAGGAGGAGATTTGACGGAAATTCCCGGGGGAAGTACAGGAAAAGTCGCAGTTTTGGTTTGGGGGAAAACCAGGACTCTGGTCACCGACTTGGGGGCCTCCCGGCTATTTTCCCTAGATGACAAGAAATGGGACAAGATAATTGAATCATCATTTGTTTATTTTTCTGTACTTTAACATTTTTTGTGACTTTTGTATTGATTCTTCTCTTTAGGGATTTTTCATCGGTGTTTCTTTCCCCTCTCTTGTCCGAATTGTGGAGCAAAGGGACAAAATCATTAGTTTTAATTTGGGGGCCCCATTTTTGTGTACAAAGTACCCCCAAGAAATGATTTATTTGTACAAAAATGCGTCTCTAGTCGTCGGAAACGAATCCGTAAGTCAGCTATGACAAAAAAATGTTTTTTTTTTATTTTTTTTAGGAGCATCGTGCTTTCGCGAAGATAAACAACCTGGAGTCACATGACCTGCTCGAGGTCGTTACGGCAACAAACAACTTGTTTCCCAAGTCACGTGTTGTTATAGTAACCCGAGGGGGCGGAACCGTTTTTGTGATAAGCCCCGGTGATTGGCAGGAATTCGCTGTAGAGTCACTAAACGACGAAAAAATCGTAGACACCAGCGGCGCGGGCGACGCTTTCATTGGTGCTTTTTTGGCAGGATGGGTCGACGGCACCAGTGTTGCCAACTGTGCAAAAAATGGAATTTTAGCCGCGAGGCGTGTTATCCAAACTGTAGGATTTAACCTTTGACTTGAAATAAAATTTTTGACCCGGATCTGAATCTTGGGGTGAAAAATTCGCGACCACGCCTTGTATATACCGACTTTTGCCTCATCATCACTTTCTCTTCTTAAATAGAACACGGCCGGCTTGATTATTGGTTGAACAAACACCCGATTCGCGCTTTTTCGGTCAAAAATGACACAAGTGCAATTAAAAGTCATCAAGTGTGCCATTGGGTCAATTTTGAATTGAGTATTTGTAACGAAACAAATGAATTATTCATTGTTTGTGGTGACGTAACGACGCTTCGATGAACTTTTAAAATTCCTTTCAAGGTGAAGAAGTCGTGCTACAATTTAACAATAGGTCACATGACCGGTGATTTATGCAAGGAATGGCAATGAAACTGTTGATTTTATGAAGAAATGTCGTTAAATTTAAAATATGACCGTTAATTGACAGTTCCGGGTATTTACCGGTTTGCTAATTCGAAAATAACACCGAATCAGGGATTTCGACTCATCTCACAATAACACATAAAGTCTGTTTTTTTTTAATGGAAATTACCAAGTCAACATTTTGGTGAAAAAATTGGTAGCAGCTTGTCTCCATAGCCACAAATTTTGTTTGCTCTTTGTTTTTTTCCCTAGAAATTTTGTTAAAAAATTATGGTTATGTGTTCCAATTGAGATGTTGGCAAAATTTTAACTTTTATGAGTCTTGTGTGCCTGTTTGCTCTTTGAAAGCGCTATAATTGAATACCTGAGGACAGGCATCATTACCTAAGGTCTAAAGACAGAATTCAGTGCTAATAATTTTGACAGAAACACACCGCAAGTAAGTACAATGTTGTGGACAAAAATGAGATTCAAAAACTTTGAAGAAAAAGGATGTATACAGGATGCGCCAGAACTCGCGCCCCAGAGAAAAATGCCATATAAGGTGAGATACCAGGTACCTACATGGAAAAAATGTTAAAAAAAAATTATCTATAACAATTTCGAAGTTATGAGGGTTTAAAGTTTGCACTTTGACTCTATTTATTTCTGTTGGAAAAATAATTTTCCAAGTTTTTTTACTATAGGTTATTAAAAGAGGAAACAAGGAAGCTGTATCCTTAATTGTAACTCTGTTTAAGGTTATTTGTGGTTTTTATTGGAAAAATTTTTGTCCCTTTACTAAATAATTGTAAAAAAAGATATACAAGATCATCAGTATCATTAAATAGATATAAAAAAATGTCAAATGTCAAAAAATAATTGTCAAAATTTTTTGACAGATAGAATTTTTTAAACATTTTTTTCATGTTCCTAGTATCTTACCTTACTTGAAAATTTTCTCTGGGGCGCGAGTTCTGTCGCACCCTGTATACAGAAAAAACTTATGTAGCAAAAGATACAAGTGGGTATTATGATGATTGGCAATAAATTTTGTGTAATTTATTGTAAGGAGTTCAAAGTTGTTGCATTTTATAAATTCTTCTTCAGCTTTAGTTTCAAAATTGTTACTTTTTCAACTCGTTCTTCAAAAACGATGCACAAGACACTAATTTAATTGCGTTCTTTCCAAGGTTCTTTCTCATCCATGTTTATTTTGTATTCTTGTCGATTTCTGCTAAAAATTAAGAATATTTAGCAAATCTGTATTACAAATTGCGTCTACATTTTAACGGGCCCTTTTTCTAACTTCCTGCTTGCGAACTATTCGTTTCCAAATTTCTAAAAACTGTCAGTGTACCGAATTTGTTTCTTTTTTGGTGTTTCGTCTCTAAATTCTCTTAGACGATTTTTTGTGTTGACGTTTAATGACATTGTTTTCAAGTTAATTCAAAAAACCGGAACTGCCAACTTCCTTTATTAAAATTACCATGAATGAATTTATTAGTGATGCCAACGTTAAGACTGTTTGGCATATATATCCATTAAAAAAAAAACAGACTTTACAGTTTATTATTTTTATTCTTCGACACTGTCAAAATTTATGGTTTTTCTCCCGTGTAAGAAAGTTTTGACAACTGTTGGGCATTTCTCAATACGAAACGTCAAATTATTTTTAACAGATTTAAAGCACGTTTAAGCTTTGTTGAGTCTAATTTTAAGAATAAAATATTGTATTCAACTCCTTTGAGTGTAAATCGGAAGCTTTATTCCACCTCGTGGATGGTAAACCACTCGTTACACTCGTGGTTTAAAAATCCACTCGGTCAAATAAACCGTCCGATTTACACTCACACTCGTCGAATAAATAACTATTATTTGCACACAAATTGCGAAACGTCGACATTTATGTCACTTTCTACTGAAAATGAACAAACAAATCGATTTTCGATCACTAGTGCCCGGTCAAAAGTCACGGCCGTCCAAAAACGCCCTCCCAGGTAAAATCGCCAGGGGCCAAGTCTGGCCGTCTTGGTGTCGACCTTGCCCGCTTAATTTCCTTCCGTCGCTATTACCCGGCCAACTAGAGCCTGTAATTCATTCAGATTACTACAATTTTCGTTTTTTCCATCATGTGGGAGAAATGATATTATTAGAATATTGCATAATCGCTTGTGCAATGGGAAAACGATGCATAATCGGCCTTGACTGAAAAATTTTCCTCGTAATTCGTAGCAATTAACGTCTTCACATCCTCCTCGCGAACGCAACAATTCCATTCATCTGAAAAACAGATCGAGGGAAAAACACGACTATTGAAAACACTTTCTTGCATATTGATCGCGTCACGAGGCTATTTCTTCCGATTAGATAACGAAGAACGTGAAGAAGCGAAGAAAGAAAATTTTCGCGAGGCGGCGACGAGACCGTAAACAATTATGAGGCCGTGTTTCCCCACCCGAGGCAAGGCAACTCCGGCGACTTTGATGATGGATCACAGTGGCAACCAACACGCGGCTCCATACCCCTTTTTCCAACCCATGACACTGTTACCATGGAAATTGCACCAACAAATCGCAGTCGCCATGCCGAAAATGACACTGTAACCATGGAAATGACATAATTACATGTGTAACTCCCCAAAAGTGACACTGTTACCATGGCAACGAATGGCATCATATACTGATTTTCATATTAATATGCAACAAGTAGGTTATGGAAGTCTGAATGCATCTTTAATTTAAAGGCCGATTCATACAAAAAGTGTCATTCATGACATTCAGAATAAATTTAATCAATAACGACAAAAATCTTTATGTTTGCTACCCTATGTTAATTACCTACGTTGTTAATTTTAATTATTTTTTTGCTACCTGGGGTACAATTTATTTGAAAAAATAATTTTTGAGATTGAGATTAGGATTGTTGAATTTTTGCATCGTTGCCACCTTGAAATAATCCCTTTCAACGACTACTTTGATGCACATTAATTTGAAAACGAGCATATGTGTGTCGGTTACCATAAAAACGATAAAATTTGTGTAAAATACTCAAGTAATTGTGGAAAATTTATCCTCCTCACAAATATGACCTTTATATTGGCAAAAAATATTTCACAGCCTTCTACTATGAAACATACCGGGTGAATAAAAAACTAATTCCTTTTGCGTAAAAATAATTACTCGTAGTGCAATGTAAAGTACTATAAAAATGTGATTGTTTTTCAAGAATTTTTTTTTGAAATTCCTTTTAGTTTTCGGGTTTAGCAAAAAAAAAATTAATGGCAACCTACCATGACAATTTTTTTTTAATTAAAAACTATGATCCAAAAATGACCTCTGATTAAATAAAATTGTTTTCCTACGACCCTCACAAAAAGTAAGCTTTTCCACGCTTTAGAAAGGAAACTGCCCAATGATCTCCCGAGGAGGAAAAACTTTTGCCTGGGAGATAAAAATTTTCCTACATCATCTGTCAAAATTACATTTACGATCCTAACAGAAAGTAAGCTTTTCCATGCTAATTTCAGAAAGAAAAGTGGCCAATTATCTCCCGAGGAGAAAAAACTTTTGCCTGGGAGGTAAAAATTTTTCTTCACCATCACTGAAAATTACATTAAAAACATGTGTAACCTCTCAGGGAGGTAAAATTTTTACCTCCCCCAATGAAACGGATAAAACGGATAAAGATGCTGTTAGATTTAATGGCGAAACTGGGATATCAAGAAAAATTGCTATTTTTGAAGTTTTTCTTGCCGGAACGTAGGAAAAATTACATGTATCATACTAGAGGAAAGTATCTGTTCCTCCCTTGTTAAACAAATAACTATTTTCATCGAGTAACTGTTTTAAGTAAATTCTTAAGTTTTGATAAAAAAACTGAACAGGAATAAATAAATAATAACAGGAATTTTATTTAATTAGAGGTCATTTTTAGATCATAATCATTAACTTTAAAAAATGTCATAGTGGGTTGCCATTAAATTTTTTTTTGCAAAACCCGAAACAAAAAAAATTTATTCTTGAAAAACCATCACATTTTTATAATACTTTAAAGAAACAATACCTAGTAATATTTTTTTTCGTAATAAAGTAATTAGTTTATGCGAAACAATGCTGAGTTCCATACTTTTTATTCACCCGGTATGTGGATAAATTGTTAACTGTTACCTTAGAAACGGATGTAAAAATGACACCGTAACCATGGAAACAGTGTCAAAAATTGAGCAAACGTTACTGTAACTGTGGAAACCGCCTGGTTACTGTGTAATTTAGTAGATACAACCATGTTACTGTGGAAACAGTAACATTAAAAAATGTCATAGTGGGTTGTCATTAATTTTTTTTGTAAAACTCGAAAACTAAAAAAATTTATTCTTAAAAAACGATCACATTTTTATAATACTTTAAACAAACAGTACCTAGTAATTTTTTTTTCGTAAAGTAATTAGTTTATGCGAAAAAATGCTGGGTTCCATACTTTTTATTCACCCGGTATGTGGATAAATTGTTAACTGTTACGGATGTAAACGGATGTAAAAATGACACCGTAACCATGGAAACAGTGTCAAAAGTTGAGAAAACGTTACTGTAACTGTGGAAACCGCCTGGTTACTGTGTAATTTAGTAGATAGAACCCTGTTACTGTAACAGTTTTCAATAAAAGAAAAAAACTTGGTCAGGAATGGGTTTATTGGCAATAAAGTCTTATTGAAATCAAATTTTATCAAACCATGAGCCATAAAAGTTGTGTTTTCACGAAAAAAATTAAAATAAATGAAATTTCGCCACACGCTGCGTTTTATTTCCCGTTTTTGTCAAAACCTCACGATTTTGGTTGTTGGTGGGCCCAAAATCGTGCATTTTTGCGTTTCTTTGTCTTGCAAGTGGGAGTATAAATCCAGCGAACGTAAACATTTTGAGTGGTGCTGATTGGCGGAGGTCCCCGGCAGCGATTCAACTTTCTCCGGTAATAAGCTCCTCGTGGATTTCCAGAGAGCACAAGAGTTCGCGTTGTGAAACAGACGAGAGCTGTTTGTTGGTCCTCCAAGTTGTTTTCCGAGAGTGGTGCGATTATGTGTGTGGATTTATCTCGGTTGTGAATTTTTCTCCTTCTTTTTGTGACATGGAGGTGACGTTTGGGTAAGGAAGTGTTGCTTTTGCGGAGCGTAATTTTTCGCCGGTTCGGGAAATTTTCTTCCGGGTCCTCAATGTCTTTGTTATGAGTCATTTCGCGTAAATGCGTGCATGGCTTTGAGCACGTATATGGACAAATGACTATATATAGGGTGAAATCTTCCGTTTCCTGATTACTTCATTCGGAATTCATTTTCTTTGACCTCTACAGGTGTTCCGAAATTTCGACAAGAAACGAAACGAAAGCTAAAATTCGGTAGGTGCCAGCCATTTCGTCATACGGCCTTGAATCTTTTCATTTTGATGTTCCCAAGACTTGCAATTATGCTTTTTAAATGACATCATTACGATAAGTAAAAAATTTTCTACGAAACTAGTCCCAAATTGAAGAATAATCACTTTGGAAGGTTACACATTTTTATAAAAACCCATAGTATCGCCTTCCCATCAGAACAATCCAACTAACCCACTTACAAAAGGAAGATTTCACCGATAAAAATCAAATTCAATGATCAATACTCTAAGAACATGTCACAAGAATTACAAAATTCGCTTTTTTCTCGCACGAATCCAGGCCAAACCGAATTTTTTCAACTTTTAAGAGACTAATCGTGTTGCCAACAAAGAAATGTGGTGTAATTAAATGCCACCCCCGGGGTACAGATTGAGAAAGTTACAATTTGCATAATCGTGGGCGTAATTCACTCACGTGCTAGAGAGAGAACGAAAAAAGCGCTTTTTATTCAAAATTCGCGCCAAATTGTAACCATGGAAACGATCGGTGTTACTATGACTATTGCCATGGTAACGAACATAAATTGACACTGTTACCACAGTGAAGAAAATTGAACTCTGACCCTATTCGCACTAGATTTTGCAATTCGATCGTCTATTGTGAGGCAAGAGGCGGGCCTCTTTTGTTCGTTCTTTTGACATTTGTTGGGAATTCCTTATCAGATAATTCCAAGGCCGCTCTAGATCGTTTTTTTTAGAGAAATGGCGACCTTGGTGCCATTTTTGACGCGTCACGTGACCGCTAAATCCACTCTCCCATAGTAATGCATTGTTGCGATATTCTCACTGATTACTCCGCGTTTACATAAAAGATCGTTTGTTACGTGGAGTAACAAGCATTAATTAAGCGAGAGAAAAAATCGAAGAGTGATGGGTTGGTACTCCTACGCTTGATTTGAACTGGTTATTATGTAATCTGGGTCAATATGAGAAACACAGTGCGAGTAAATTCCCTAAACTGGAACAAACATCCGAAAATCGATTCGTTACACTTTTCAATAAAAGTGCAGTATTGACCTCCAGTTACATAACGGAATTAGCGACACTTTTACCATCACAACAAGATTAAAACCACTAACCGTGATACAAATCGTTAATCACTGAAAGTTTTTGTGCGTTCTGGTAATTAAGAAAAGTGAATTTGTTTACAACAAGTAGAGCGATCTTTTAAGTGAATCGACCACGCGATGAATTACAGTTGGCACCACTGTTTTTAAGTTTCTTCTTTCACCTGATTGCCGCTAATTTAAGACTTGTTATTCAGAAAGCTTTTAGAACAAACGTCATAATTAGTTTTATGAACGGCAACACTGATTCACACAAAATGCCAGGAAAGTCCCCAACCGGACCTGACCCATCATTTGACGTGATCTTTTGATTCTCTAATCCCGTGATCCTGACACAAATCCGTCTTAAGAAATCAGCGTTGTTGGCGTTAGCCAACTGCGATTTCGCAACAATGAATGCTTCTTTATGACAGTTGGCAAAACGAGTAGGCGGCGATTTAATCACCCGATGACAGGTCAAGGAAATGCGTCGCTTAGCGACGATTTGGGGTTGCTGGTCAACCCATCAGGTTCAAGGTTGGCTTTCGATTGTTTTGATCGTTCCGGTGACCGAGTGATCCACATTGCGGTCCAATATTTTGGTTGTTCCGGAAAAACTTTTCGTCTTTGTGGAAAAGTGCAACTTCCGGAGCAAGCAAACACTTTCTATTTACGTCACGTGGAGGAGTTATCAATGTATGGGGGCTCCCCCCATTAATTGGTCATTACGAAATGCTAATGATATGTCAATCAGCCGTTTTAATTAGAAATTAGACGGCAAAGTCAAAGTCACGTGTCATGAACGAAGATTGAGTTAGTAGGAATGCCGAATGAAAGTAATCTCGGGTGAAAGTAGTGTTGCAATGAAAATAAATACAAAATGTAAATAAATTAAAAGAAGACCGGTCTATGCATAACGCGTCGAAAATTCGTCTCGCCTCTTTCCTAGAAAGTCTTGATGTAATTATTACCTTGCCCTAGCGACATAAATCAACATTGCTTCGCCTTATTTGGGTTGGCACAACTGCACGTGTGATACAGAAAATGCAAGAATCGAAAATAAATTAAAACTTTCCTTCAAACGTCCGAGCGAAAGTTTTCATTATTTGGTTAATTGAAAAAAGCAAATAATTACAAAGTTTAATATAAAAGCAGTGAAAGTCGCGATTCACCGCTATTACATCGGCTTTCTGACACTTTTTTCGGCGCCAAATTCGAGTTCAAATTCCTGGAAAAACAAAATTATTATCTGACACGGATGTGGCTGTTGGCAGTACGTGATCGTGATCACACTTAACGGCGACATCCTTCAAGAATTTGAGGCGTGATTGTGACGTCACGCTTGATTTGAATTCCAAAATGAGAAAAATATTATGTGACTCGGAAGGTGAAGGCCACAATTGGCAAAACTGCGTCACAAAGAAATTGTAACAGGATTACCAATCGCAAAACATCATCGCCTTGAAACACTTAAGTAATTGGACGCAATTTACATATCATTAAAATACCAAATAAATAAATATCTCAATGACGACTATACTTTTTCCTTGTTTTTTTTAGTCAAGGTCTACTTTGTTTCAGATTAGCCCTTTTGGCCCTCTTTCCGGCCGCCCTTTCCACCACCAACATCACCGCCTACACCCGCGCCCTCCCATCCGAACTCAAACCAACGGTCAGGGCCGCTCTGGGGGCGGAACTACACACGCCCCGCCCTTGCCAATCACACGATACTATCCCTTGTCCGCCTAATAAATACAGGCGGCCGTCAGGCGAATGTAACAATGTTCGGCACGCCCATTGGGGCACTCGGGGAGTTCCATTCTTACGACTCCTCCCACCCGATTATGCCGATGGGCGGAGTCAGCCGCGCCAGTCTGTTACGACTCATGCTTTACCAAGTCCCTTGGACGTGACTGTGACCTTGCAAACGGTACCGGCCACTCCCCATGAGTCAGTCACCGCCCTTTTGGGGGCGTGGAGCGAGTTATTACTCCATGATTTGGCGAGTACTGGGAATTTGAAGAGTCAGGATTGTTGCAGCGATGAGAGGAAGCATGGAGAGTGTTATGGGAGGGTGGGGCATGGCCAGTGCAGGGAATATATGCGGACGTTGCCGGCCATTGACATGGACGACTGCGATTTTAGTAAGATTCTTGATTTTTAGCTAGATTTGACTATGAAAGTCTAAAGATTTGTAGAAAAAAAAGTGGCCCGGATCGGGACTCGAACCCCCAACTTTCGGGTCCGTGTCAATTTTTCTGTCAAATCTTGCTATTCAAAAGGCCTTTTTTAATGTTTTGGGTTTGTAGAGTACCGAAATCAGATGAACTTGGCCTCGTCCTTTTTGGACGCTTCGGCCATTTACGGAAATACCGACCAACAAGTCGAAAAATTACGAACGTACGATGCCGGTCTTGTCAATGTCTCGGCTTGTACCTCGTGTCGCTCCAACGCCCTCTATTCGGCCATTTTGAAAGAACACAATCGAGTTGCCATTAATTTAGCCCAATTGAACCGTCATTGGACCGACGAAACTTTATTCCTAGAGAGTAAACGAATCGTGACAGCTATGCTTCAACACATCACCTATAACGAGTTTCTTCCAATTGTATTGGGCAATGTAACAAGTCTCCGTCTTGCTAGACCCGCCCACTGACTCACTATTGGTTGCAGGAAGCCATCGTACAGTCCGACCTCCAATTACAAAGTCATGGGCGGTTTTCAAAATACTCGAGCTCGCACAGGGCTGGGGTTTACAACGAGGTGGCTATGAGTGCTCTCCCCGCCCTCCTTTCGATGATCCCTTCCACTTTGGTAAATCCCCCGTTTTGTATGAAGCAATACCATCATCAATGGTTTCAGATGAACGAAACTGTTGAAAGTTTCGCCGAAATGGTGGATGTTTTGATTAGAACACCGGCGCAAAGTCCCAGTATGCACATGATGGTACCATTGCGCGCGGATTGGGACACGGCGGCCCTTTTCGTCCATATGGGACGCGACCATGGGATTCCCCCTTACACCCAGTATCTCGCAAAGTGCCAAAATCTCACAATTGGGGATTTTGACGACTTTACCAAATCTGGAATTAGCCCCGAATTGGTCAAAGCCTTGAAGTACCTCTACCAAGTACCAGAAGATGTTGATCTCCTAGTTGGTTCATTGTTGGAAAGACCGATTCCTGGGGCTATCGTTGGAGGAACCCTCGAGTGTCTCTTACGCGAACAATTTATTCTTTTGAAGCAAAGTGACCGGTTTTGGTACGAAAATGATTTACCCCCGAGTTCGCTAACAACGGAACAATTAGCCGAAATTAAGAAAGTATCTCTGGCTGGGTTATTGTGTGCAAACACTGACGATTTGGATAAGATTCAACCCAAGGCTTTCGTCCAGGAGGATCCTTATTTGTAAGTGATTTTGAAAAATTGAGAATGGTTTTGAACCTCGTTGTAGGAACGCTAGATTGTCGTGCGACCAACACCCTCTCCCCCAACTAACCCCCTGGTTGGAGATGGACCACATGGCCGACCTCTCGGAAGACCTCCTCATGGAAGCCCTCGTCAAAGCCGAACAAGACGTCCTCGAGCGTCGCAAAACCGAATACGAGCTGTGGGCCACCGTCGGGGGCATTGACCCCAAATCCCCCGCTGGGACCGCCGCCTCCTTCAGCAAAGCCAACAAACAGGCCCTTAAACTCGCAAACACGTCTTTACTATTCGAGTTTGCCTCCAACGAAATCATCAATTCGTTAATGTAGGTTATAACCGGATTGTGACACTCAAATCTTAAGGCTGGGTTTTAGGCACCGGCGAAGACGACGCCAACTTTTCGACAATAACGTCATTTCGTCGGTGTTTCGTGACGAACTCTCAGACGGGTTGCAAAATGTCGATATTTCATCATTAATCCCAGCCAACGCGATTGATTTAGACACGCATTGTGATGAGACCGCCCCTTGCGACCCTAACACCCCCTACCGGACGATGACCGGCCATTGTAACAATTTACGGAATCCTAATTGGGGCAAAAGTCTCACCACGTTCACCAGACTCCTCCCTAGCGCCTACGATGACGGTAAGCTCCGCCCATGAGCCACACCTAATATAACTCCTCTCTTTTTAGGTATATCTAAACCACGCCTTTTGGGCGTGACCGGAGCCCCTCTCCCCTCCCCTAGAATCGTCTCCACCCTCATCCACCCCGATATCAGCAACCTCCACTCCAGATACACCCTCATGGTCATGCAATTTGGTCAATTCCTGGACCATGATTTGACTATGACACCCATCCATAAGGGTTTCCATGAGTCCATCCCGGATTGCCGGTCATGTGACAGTCCCCGGACTGTCCACCCGGAATGCCACCCTTTTCCCATCCCCCCCTCCGATCACTACTACCCGGAAATCAATATCACTTCCGGTCAAAGAATGTGTTTCCCGTTCATGAGATCCCTTCCCGGCCAACTCCATCTCGGACCGAGGGAACAAGTCAACCAAAACACGGCCTTCTTGGATGCCTCCCAAATCTACGGTGAAAACCCATGTGTTTTGAAAGATTTGAAAGGCATAGGGGGGCGGATGAATTGCACGCAACGCCCCCTCAAACTCAAGGACCTCCTCCCTCAAAGTGACCACCACCCAGAATGTAAAGCCGCCAGTGGGTTGTGTTTCATAGCCGGAGATGGACGAGCTTCAGAACAACCCGGTTTAACCGTAATTCATACAATTTTCATGCGGGAACATAACCGGCTTGTTGATGGGATAAAACAGGTTAACCCTCATTGGGACGATGAGAAGTTATTCGAGCATGCGCGTCGGATTATGATAGCCGCTAACCAACACATAACCTACAATGAGTGGTTACCTAGACTTTTGAGTTGGAATGCGGTTAATTTGTATGGGTTGAAACTCCTCCCTCAGGGTTACTACAAGGATTACAACCCGTCGTGTAACCCTGCGATTCTGACTGAATTCGCAGCAGCGGCTTTCCGGATTGGTCACTCGTTACTCCGCCCTCATATCCCGCGTCTAAGCCCCTCCTACCAGATCATAGACCCTCCTATTCTCCTCCGGGACGGTTTCTTCAAACCTGATATGCTCCTCCAAACCGGAATGGTGGACGAAATCGCCAGAGGCCTTGTTTCCACACCAATGGAAACTCTCGATCAGTTTATAACCGGCGAAGTAACCAATCATTTATTCGAAGACCGGAAAATCCCCTTCTCGGGGGTGGATCTAATCGCACTCAACATTCAACGAGGGCGTGACCACGGAATCCCCTCCTACAACAACTACCGTGCTTTATGTAACCTCAAACGAGCGTCAAACTTCGAGGATTTAGCCCGGGAAATCCCCCCCGAGGTAATCGCCCGATTTAAACGAATCTACCCGACTGTGGACGATATAGACTTGTTCCCGGGCGGTTTAAGCGAACGACCCCTTCAAGGGGGCCTCGTGGGCCCCACTTTCGCCTGCATCATAGCAATCCAGTTCCGCCAACTGCGCAAATGTGACCGGTTTTGGTACGAAAACCAAGACTCGAGTGTGCGATTCTCCGAACCCCAACTAGCCGAAATCCGCAAGGTCACACTCGCGAAAATTATCTGTGATAATCTAGACGTCCATGGAGACATGCAACGCGCCGCCTTTGACCTCCCCAGTAATTTCCTCAATCCCAGAGTGCCATGTGATTCGCTCCCGAAGCTCGATTTCGGGGCGTGGCGCGAGTCAGTGGGCTCGGGGTGTGTCATAGGTGACCGCATGGTGGATGTGGGCCAATCAGCGTTCCCGTCGCCATGCACGAGTTGCATTTGTACACAGGAGGGGGTAAGTACCGCCCCGAAGGTGTGGTTTAGTCCTAATTGGGTTTTGCAGGGCCAGTGTGCATCGCTACGAGTCACCGATTGCTCGCAGCTGTTGAGGGAGTGGCCTAAGGAGGTGGTGCTAAGGGATGATGTGTGTTCGGCCCAATGCGGGTTCTTGTTGAGGAATGAGGGACCGCAACCCGGCTTGAATACCGATTTGACGCCGCCTCCGAGGCATTTAAGGGCGAGGCAGTTAGGACGGCCTCCCAGGATTCCAAATAGGAGTTTTAACGGATTTGGGGAGTTTAAGTTACCGGATTTGTCGGTGTTTGTGGCCAAGTGAACAAAAAGTGGACAAATTATTTATGAATTTTTCGATGAACGAGGGACTAAAATGGGGTTGTAAATAAAATGAGGGCCTCGGGGAAGTTTTTTATAGAAATTTGAGTGATTGTGATTCGAGAAAAGGCACTAGAAATGTTACCAACTTTAGGGTTAATCCAATTTGTGTCTTAGTTTTTGTACTTGTATTTTATATCTTATTGTTGTTTTGTATACAGTTTACACTGCCTTCTGTACTATTATTCTCTACTCTGTTGTTAATACTTGTACTCCTCTTACATAATTAAACTATCATTATTTTTTTACCTTGGTCTTTGTGGGAATAAAAACCAAAAATTTGAAAATTCCGAGTTTTCAAACTTCGTCACTAAAATACAAAATTTTGAAACTCGAAATAGAAAGCCAATATTAGTCAAATCCAAAAAAATCTTACAAATTCAGCTCACATTGTGCATAATTTTAATAAAACCCCTTGTTTCAGTGTTTCGCAAAATGACAAATAAATCTCAAATCTCAGGTTTCATTCAAGAAAACAGTTTTTCATCGATATTTCCAAAAGTATACTAGTAGTAGCCGGAAAATTCTTGTAGATTTAGATTATGTGGCTCAATTTACATAAAACAATGTATGTTGTTTTTTTCCAACGTTGCCATTTTGTTGCCAAAATGTAAAGTTTGTAGTTTTCGAAATTTATTGCTAAAAAATTGACATTTTTGGGAATATTTTCGAAAATATTGCGAAAAATTAAATTCTACACTTGAAATGAGTTATGTTCTTTAAAATGCATTATTGATTTTCCAAATTTATCCCAGAAAGTCAGAATTTTTGGCGATATTTTCGAAAATATTGATCTTTTAAGCAAATAAATTCAAATTTCTCAGCTCATTTTGCCTACGGCAATCATAATTTTAATAAAACTCCTTGTTTCATCATTCACAAAACACCAAAGCCTTAAATTTTTCAGATTCGTTAACAAGAAAACTTTTTCATCAATATTTCCTAACGCACAATTTAAATAAAATTCGCAGCTTCATTGTTTTAAAAATTAAAAGTTTAAAATTAAAGAAACATTTTTTTTTGTAACCAAACAATTCTTTGGTTCGGTCTACTTAACAAATTAAATTTTAATAGAATTAAAAATTGTTTTTGCAAAAAATTAACTTCCTAAAAATCGACAATAAAATTTGACAGTAGTTTTAAAACTACTCATCGTAGCAAAAAAAAATACAAATTCAACGTATACAATGTAAGTTTAATTTCTTCCAGCGTTGATTCTTGCAAAATGTAAAAGTCTTGAGTTTTCGAAATTTGTCAACAACTTTTGACACTAATTCTTGCAGATTTAATTCAGTACCTTGTTTAAATTTTTATAAAACAGAAAAAAGAAGGAATTTCTTAATTTAGTATAAACGAATTAATGCAATTTAAAAAAGAATTTTCGGTGAAATTCTCTAGAAACAGAAAAACTCGTCCAAAGTATCGAAAAAAAAAATTATTGAGTTATTTTCAACTGATTATTTATTTTTCAAAGTATGGAAAAACAGCACAATTCAAGCGACATTCCATCTAAACAAATTTTTTGTCCTTTCTTTTTCTCCAATCCCCGATAACTTTTTCCGCTTTTTCAACCTCAACAATGGTCGTGACTGTGTTGTGGACCTCTTCCTGTACTAAAAACCCACTAATTACCGATCTTTCTTATCACTAATTATCAATTCCAGGGCTGGTTCCAATAATCTCCATTACTGTGCTATGTGTTGGTGTGATTTTCCTACTGTTTTGTTTATGGTAAGTTTACAAAAACACTCCATAACCCTAATCACCGATTTTCAGTATTCAAAAACGCCAAAACCGGAAAACCTTCCAAGTGTCCAATAGTTCATTAAGTAAATTGATGATTTTCCGGAAATGCCAAACGAGCTCGGCGAGCTTACCCGTCCACGAGGAGAACAAAGATTTGCTGGATTCAGTTGATGTTTCACACCGGTTTTTAAATTATTTATTAATCAATTAACAATTTTAATGATTTGGTTCAAGGTTTACTTCGTCGAAATTAAAAATCGACAATTTGGAGGATTTCGATGAGGCGAAATCGTGCGACAGCACTGATTCGAGATTCACATTCTACTCGGTAAAGGTTTAAAAAATTTTGTATGTAACTCTTGCAATTTTTTTCAGACGTACCCAGGATTCGGCCGATCGGACTCCACCGCCTCCGATTACAAAAGCACCCGAGATTCGTTCAACAAAACCAAATCGTTCTCAAATTTCTTACAATAACACAAAATTGTAAAAATCATGGAAAATAAATAAAATTTTGTATGTAATTTTTGCGAAAAATTAAATTCTACACTTGAATGAGTTATGTTCTTTTAAATACATTATTGGTAAAGTTTTCTACATTTTCCAAATTTATCCCTGAAAAAGTCAGAATTTTTGGCGATATTTTCGAATATATTGATCCTAACCAAATAAATCCAATAAATTCAAATTGCTCAGCTCATTTTGCCCACGGCAATCATAATTTTAATAAAACCCCTTGTTTCATCATTTCACAAAACATCAGTTTTAATTTTTTCAGATTTGTTAATAAGAAAACTGTTTTTCGTACTTTCCTAAAGTACTAGTAGTAGCCGAAAAATGTTGCAGATTCACATTCTGTGGCTCATTTTACATAACACAATACATTTTAATTTTTTTCCAACGCGACCAATTTTTTACAAGATGTAAAAGTTGTTTCATCATTTCACAAAATACCAGAGTCTTAATTTTTTTCAGATTTGTTAACAAGAAAACTGTTTTTCATCAATATTTCCTAAAGTACTAGAATAGTAGCTGCAAAATTCTTACAGATTTAGATTCTGTGGCTCATTTTACGTAAAACAAAAAACTGCGACTTTTCGGACAACGTTGCCAGTTTTCTTACAAAATGTGAAAGTTTCTAGTTTTCAAAATTTGTTATTAAAAAATTAAAATTTTTAACAATATTTTCAAAAATATTAATCCAATCCAAATACTTCTCAGACCATTTTGTGTGCAACAAACATAATAAATAAATAAAATAAAAATCAAAATAAAATTCCTTGTGTTAGAGTTTCAGAAAATGCCAAAGTCTCAAAATTTTCTGGTTGATTAATAATAAAACGGTTTTTCGTGAATATTTCCTAAACTACTAGACGTAGCTGGAAAACTCTTGCAGATTTGGATTCTGGGGTTCATTTTACATAAAACAATTTATCTTGTTTTTTGCAACATTGCTATTTTTTTACAAACAATTATCACCAAAAAAATGAAATTTTTGGCAATATTTTCGAAAATAATAATCCTAGCCAAATAATTCCGACAGATTCAAATTTCTCAGCTTATTTTGCGTTCGGCAAACAATATTTTGATACAACTCCTTGTTTCAGCATTTCACAAAACATCAGTCTAAAATTTTTCAGATTTATTGTTAACAAAGAAACTGTTTTTCCTTAATATTTCCTAAAGTACTACTAGTAGCCTCAAAATTCTTGAAGATTTAAATTCTGTGTTTCATTTTACGTAAGACTGTGATTATTTTCAACGTTGCCGTTTTTTTTTAAATGTAAAAGTTTCTAGTTTTTGAAATTTTTGACGATATTTTCGAAAATATTGATCTTAGCCACATAATTCTGACAGTTTTAGATTTCTCAGCCTATTTCATGTGCCACAAACATAATTTTAATAACATTCCTTGTGTCAGAGTTTCAGAAAATGCCAAAGTCTCAAAATTTTCTTGTTGATTAATAATAAAACGGTTTTTCGTGAATATTTCCTAAACTACTAGACGTAGCCGGAAAACTCTTGCAGATTTAGATTCTAGAGCTTATCTTACATAAAACAGTCTATCTTGTTTTTTGCAACATTGCCATTTTTAGAAAATTTAAAAAGTTTCTAGTTTTCGAAATTTATAACCAAAAAATTAAAATTTTTGGCTATATTTTTGAAAATATTAATTCAAGCTAAATAACTTAGACAAATTCAACTTTCTCAGTTCATTTTGCGTATGACAATCTTATAATTTTGATAAAACTCCTTGTTCCAAAATTTCACAAAACACCAGTCTTAAATCTTTCGGGTTAGTTAACAAAGAAACTGTTTTTCCTTAACATTTCCTAAAGTAAAAAAAAAGATTTAAACTCTGTCTCATTTTACGTAAGACAATGTATTATAATTTTTTTTCCAACGTTGCCGTTTTGTTTCAAAATGTAAAAGTATCTAGTTTTTGAAATTTTTGACACTATTTTCGAAAATATTAATCTTAGCCAACTAATTCTGACAGATTTGGATTTCTCAGCTCATTTTGTGTGCAACAAACATAATTTTAATAAAATCCCTTGTGTCAGAATTTCAAAAAATGCCAAAGTCCAATGATTTTCAGTTTGTTTAATAAAAAAAATGTTTTTTCTAAAGTACTAGTAGTAAGTAATCTTGCGTATTTGGATTCCGTGGCTCTTTTTACGTAAGACAATGTATTTTGTTTTCATTTTTTACTAAATGTAAAGTTTCTACTTTTCGAAATATATCATTAAAAAATTGGAAATTTTTACTTCAATTATAATTTTAATAAAACCCCTTGTTTCAGTCATATTTCAGAAAATATGAAAGTATCAGTCTCAAAATTTTCTAGTTATTAATAAGAAAATAGTTTTTGGCATATTTCCTAGAGTACTAGAAGTTTCCAAAAAATTCTTGCAGATTTAGAATCTAAAATTGTAAAAAAATCATAGCAAAACAAATCAAATTTTGTAGGCAATTAAAAGTCTCCACTTGAACTGAGTTTTATTCTTTTAAATACATTGGTAATATACATCTACTATGAACAAATATATTAAATAAAATACATTTCTCCTAATTGGGCTAACACAAATTGTACAAAACCTATAATCCGCAAAATCACACGATTATGGCAAATAAACTCACGTTTCATTGATGATTTTGATTAAAAACTCGAGAAAAAAATAGAAAAAAACCAAAAGAATGGCCGTAAATCAGGAAATCATTGCGCTTATTACTAGATAGAGGATCATGAGTATTAGGGGTGCAATATAGAAATACATTTTGTCGTACGAACTGTTGCACATCTTATTGTACTGTTCTCTCAATTTGGCTAATTCCTGTTGCAGTTTGAGTTTGTCGTCGTTGCTTTGGACGTAGCGCTCTTTCAACAGAACCATTTCTTCTTCGAGACTAACTAATTGTTCGTAACTATTTGATATGGTCGAGGTATTTACAATTTGGTCCTTGTTGCTCGCCTCTTCCAACTCCTTCACCAAACAGTTCACTCTGTCCCTCAACTGTTGACTTTCGTTGCAACTTTCTTTCAATTTCTGTTGCAACACCACCAACTCCTCTTTCATCGATTCGTTCTCTTCCGATTGGACGCTATTCAACTGTTTCTCGTCGGTTAATTGCTTCTCTAATTCGCTCAATTTCGATTTGTTCGACTCGAGGATTGTTTCGAGGATTTCTATTCGTTTCTTTAGCTCGTTTTGAGCCGTTTGGTATTTGTACTTTAAGGTTTTCGAGTCGACGTTGTCGCTGTCGAAGTCGTCTTTTGAGTTCTCGGAGGGGCTTTCAGGACCGTTGCAATTCACCTGAAATTTACAAAATGAAAGACAGTTTGGGGAAAATGGGGGAAAATTACGTCTTCTGGAATATTGAATGTGACGCGTTTTTCCGGCTCTTTTTCCTCGAATGTTAGGATGGTCGAAGTTTCACTCTCGGAATCGCTTTCCACATCCGGTTTTTCCTCGCAAGAGCTTTTCTCATCCTTTGAAAAATACAAATTGTTACAGAAATACCAGTTTTTGCCCAACTACACCACTAATTTGATATTTAAAATGCAAAAAATATATTTTTGTACAAAAAATTTCAACCTTATTCTAATCTACGCCACTGGTTTACTATGAAATCAAATAAATTCATTTCCCAAGTTTTCTCTCAAAAACAAAGTCACCAGGATCAAGTATTTTTCATTTCCTTTTCTTTAAAAATAATTTTGTTTCCCCTTACTTTTTCATTATTTTGTTTTATAAACAATCAATCAAAAAGAAAATGTTAAATTTTGCTCAAACTATGTCATTGGTTTATTACAGATAATTTTTTTGAAAGATATATTTTGTAATCAAAGCATGAAAATATTAATTCCACAAATAAAAATATTACAAAAATCATTTTTAATAAAATTTTAATTGTTACGCCACTGACTTAAAACAAATTTATGTCTCCTCTCCTGTTGGTAGTAAAAACTTACTTTTTTTCGCTTGAAAAATAACAAAATCATAATTTTAACAAAAGGAACAAACTACTTAATAAAAATGAAATACACAAAACCATTTTTTAAGTATTAAATTATTAATTATTAATTAAATTATTTTTTCTTTTGTAAGATGTTCAATAAGAAAATTTTAAACTTCATTTATTGTATTACAAACTGTTTACTTACAAATAATTTTTTTGAAATATATTTAGTACTTAAGTTTGAGAAGCACTCACTATAACTCAAATCCTTCCAAATGTTGTTGTTACGCCACTGGCTTAAATACAATAAATTTGATGGTAAAAGCTTACTTTTTGTCTCTTAAAATAAACAGCAACATAATTGTGATAAAAAAAATAAACGGAATAAAAATTAAATAAAAAACTCTTAAATAATTTTTTTGTAGACTTAAAAAAAATTCAAACTACGTCAATGGCAGATATTTTTTTTGGAAATATATTTTATAAATAATGCATAAAAATCGTCTAAATTCATGTTAAAATACCAATTAAGTAATTACATTAATTAAAACCTTAAATTTTTTCATGTTACGCCATTGGTTTGAACTACAATAAATTTATATTTTCCGTTGATGGAAACTTACCTTTTTTTTTCTTAAAATAAA